GAAATAAAATCTTTCCACAGTAAAGAAAAGTTAAAAGAATTTGCCTCTTTCAAACCTGCCCTACAAAGGATGCATAAAGACGTTCTCTGGACAGAGAAGAGGAATAGCACCCACTGAAACCAAAGGCAAATGTGAAGAACATCCCAGTGAAATAACAACAGAAGACTAAACCAATGAACAACCCATTGCTAAAATGACAGGACCAAATTACCACCCATTCATATTATCCCTGAATGTAAATGGATGAAGCTCAATCAAATGTCATAGATTAGCAGACTGGATTAAAAAACAAAACCCATCTATTTGTTGCCCACAGGAGACACATCTCACCAACCAAAATCAGTAGAAACTATATCTCACGGATCTTGATTTTTTTTGTTTTTAGTTTAATCTCTTCTAAACATTTCCTTCTGATTAAATTATTCAACGACTTCTAGATCATACAGTGGCATCATTTTCTTCAAGAAGGTTCTTGGTTTTCTTTTTCATTGCTTTAATGACATTTAGTCATTCACTAGCATGTTATTTAACTTCATGGCATTTTAATTTCTTCTTTTCTTCCTGTTGTTGATTTTGTTTTGCGGCTTTCCACTTAAGGGGATGTACAGTAGCTGTGTGATGGAGACTATCATATCCAGATGTGAGGATACAATGCAGTACGCATCCGTACTTCCAGACTAAAAATGGACTCCCAATGAAACTGAAAACTGTATCTTAACAATAGGATGCTGGACTCTGCCATTGTCCATGCCTGCAATGATGGACATATGACTGTGTTTAAACAACGATACCTTAGTAATGATCAAGAGGAACTCAGTGGGGGTGGAACTGGGGAGGCGATAAAGAAAATCCAGGGGCCTATGGAACTGTATCAGAAAATGATAATAATAATAATTTAATAATAAAAGATTTTTAATTAAAAAATTTTTTTAACCTAATGTTCTTCTTAAATATCTTAGAAAAGTCAGATGATACATAAGGAGGTTCACCTAGTCTTGCCTGTTTTGCAGAAGAATTGCAATGAGTTTGATAACTTACATTTTTCAATTAGTGAAATATGTCAGTTGAACTAGCTGGCACTTTGATTAATGTTCATGATTTCATTTATAAACGACGTTATATTGTAAAAAATTGTAACAATTTTTTTAAGAAGGTAAGAACATATTAAAAGTAAATATGTACACTTTAGTGACTATGAGGAGCGCACAGGTTAGCGATGTGTGAGTGACGAGCACCACTGCCACAGTCTCACCCTATGTGAACATCATAGTGAATACTCTTAAAAGCCTAGACAGTACTCAAAGTTTGTTCCTGCAAGGAATTTTCCTCCACAATCAGCCTAAAGTTCCCACACTTTTGCAGTGCCCTTCCCCTCAGTGCTCATAGACTCAGCACTCACTTTCACATCATGTAACTGCTGCATCAATCAGATCAGGATTAGCTTTAAGTTCAGTGCTGTAGTTGGGTCTAATCTTTTCTTTCAACATCACAGATTTTGTGTTCTGGCCATGATCACCGTATTGCAAATGTATCTCTATACCTGATCTTCAATTTGGATTCGGATCATTGGAAGTTTCTTCATGTCTGATCCAGCGCCTTTCCAACGTTTGTCAGCCTGGTTGCCACCATTGGGGCGGATCTTTAACGGCTTTAGTTAGTCTGGTCCTGTTCTTTGAGATCCTAGCTATGATGGAATGGGACTTGCCTCATGGCAGATCACGGACCATCACCGAGTTTCTACCTTTGCAGCTCTTAATTATTTTTAATTTCATTTTCAGGTTAGTCACGCAATAATTCTCCAGCTGGCAACTGGATTAGGAACCATTATCAACAAAATGACATGAAACTAAATCAAGGGAAATGAAAAAATAATGTAACGGTGATATGCAGTAAACACAAGATATACAAGATCCTGCCACCCACTAGTGTATAATTGGTCCAACATCGAATGAAACGTTATATGGCACATGACTACCAATGCTTACTAGCTAGCACAGTTAAAAGATGTAACTAAAGGAATATTTACTTTATTGTGAAGTGGCTATCTTCCACATGAAGGAGATTTTGGATAACACCCAAGGTTGGGTGTCCATAGAGAGAGATCTTAAGATTCAATTGGACAATGACTGGCTAAAGCACACAAGGAGTCTTGAGGATGGGCATGAAAAAATATTTTAAGCGACCTATTTACAAACCGGGTAGTCATCAGGTAGAAAATGAGTTGGTCTAGAGAAAATGCTGTACCTGAAGTGGGCAAAGACACTGGAATTGCTTCCCTGAAGAGAAGGCTCATTTGAGAACCCTCACATCACTGTTAACAGTAGCTGGCAAGGCCTTGACTGCAAACATCACCAGAGGTCAGCATTCATCTTTCCTTCTTCTCCCCAGAGCCCCAGTTACAGTGACAGTCAAAGGAATAAAACTCCACAACACCGAAGATCAAGGTAGGAAGTTAAAGAAAAAGCCAGAAGCAAAACAATTTCTGGAGGAACATAAGGGATCCAGGAGGGCAGGCTTATCAAGCAAGCAGCAGCAGTGACACGGTGAGAAGGCACAGGAGGGGCTCTCGAGGCCTGCTGAGGCCACAGGCTCCGAGGTAGCAGGTGTAAGGGCCTGTGGAAAGTGACCAGCATCAGGGTGATTGAAGTCCTGCTCTGACATATGAAGAGACTGCTCCTTAACCTTAGCAACGACAAAGGAACAAGCTGGACAGAATAAACTGTTCTGGCAACTGTAAAAAAAAAAAAATTTTTTTAATAAAACAATTGCATAGGAGGGTTGGATGGAAATGTTAAGGATGTCTTCCAGAAGGAAAAACGAACTCAGAGATGGAAAATATTCTAACCAAGAACACAGATCACAGATGACAAAGAAGTACAGAATTCAAGTAATAGAAATTCATAACTGGACAAAGGAGAAGATGATCAGACATGATATGATATGATAATACTTGTCCAAATTGAAAGGAAGCACACAGGCCTGCAGCCTGAGAGGCCAGAAGGGATTTAACTAAAAACACGCGAAGTTTCAGAATAACAAAGACAGAGAGACAATGTACAAAACTCTTCATAAATAAATGAAGGCGTCACCTATAAATCAGGTTAACATTCCAGTCGACAATAATGCTGGCGACATAAGCTTTTAAAATTCTCCAAAGACATGACAATCTAACATTTTACGCATTATCTATCAACCAAGAATGGGGACAGAATTAGACATTTTTAGATCTGCATGTGACAAACATGAAGGCATGAATTCAAGAGTGGGAGGGGGTGAAAATAAAGTTATTTTTTCTTCAGTAAGAAAGAGAAATGAATGTAATCTGTAAGCTGACATTAACACTAGGTCCAGTCACTGGCAGAAGCCAGTGCACAGAGATCCTGCCAGGGAGAATTCACAAGAAAACATCAGATTCTAATGACCCCAAGGGACATGATAATTAAATGGGTGAGAATTTGTAAGACAGCAAGAATAAAGGAAGCATGCTACTTCTATTTTTATTTTGGTTTATCTATTTGAAAGGTAGAGTGACGCAGAGTGGCAGAGAGACAGGGAAACGGATCTTCCATCTACCAGTTCTCTCTCCAAGTGGAGGCAGCAGGCAGTGCTGGGGCAGCTGACCCCAGGAGCCTGGCACTCCATCTGGGTCTTCCACGTGCATGTAGTGGCTCGAGGACCTGCTGCCTCTCGGTGTACACACTAGCAGGAAGCCAGATCAGAAGTAGAACAGCTGGCACCCACACCAGGCCCTCAGATGTGCAAGCAGCACCTTGAACGGTTGTGCCAAATACTTGCTCAGGACATTTCTGTATGGCACACAGTGTTTCATAAACTAAGTTTTTAGGGCAGGTGTGGGACCATTTGTTATACAGAAGAATAATTACATCCATCTTTATTTTAATAGTCTTTTCTCATTTTTTTTTCCTTTGTCTACCTTAGGTTTGCAAGTAGTACTAAATTTTCCATCCTGAGTTGTATTCAAATCTCAGAAGGCTGTTTTCTTCTGACATAATGATATTCAGGCTGAGTATTCATATCCTTTACCTGAGACCAGAAGTATTTCAGATTTGGAAATTTTTTAGAATTTGTAACATTTGCATAGACTTTACTGGTTGTGCTTCCCTAATTTGAAATTCAAAAATCTTCAACATCCCCAAATTTTAAGCATTAACATCATTCATAAAAGCCTTCAGGTTTTGAATTTCATATTAAAGATGTTCAGTTTATGTTCCATAGAAAGAGTGAAGAGTTTGAAAGCAGGGAAGTTTTAGGTCATTTGCTCAAAGACAAAGTGGTTAAATCTATCCCATTCTTACACTCTATGTGGAAATTCCTTTGATAGCATCCTATGTAGTTGATCACTGAATTTCCTCTATGGTCCATCTGTTTAGTTTTTAAGCATCTTTGAGGGTTGAAAAGTTTTTCCTTGTATTGAATCCAAACCTGCCCTCACAAAACTCTTGGTCTGCTGAGTGCAGAGTTGAGTCTGCGATCTCTTCTGTGTGTTACCTTAACGGAGCTGTTAAACTCCAGGTGCATGCATACGGAGAGCAATTATGGCAGAGTTACAGTCCCAACTTCTACCTTCCACTTCATATGTCACAGAAGTAACCTGAAGGCAGGCATGGTGGCGCAGTGACCAGAGCTGCCACCTGCAATGCTAGCTTTCCCTGTGAGAGGCGGGGCTTGACCCCAGCAGCCCGATGGATCCAGCTGCCCACTGCGAGGCTGGGTACAGCAGCAGAGAACAGCTCAAGTCCAGTCTGTCTCTGCGCCTCCGCCTTTCAAACAAAAGAAAAATAAATAAAATGAAAAAAAAAAACCAAACTATCTTATGAGAACTTTTGCAACAGTCTACTTTGATCTTACATGTATCTGCTTGACAAATACAAACCAATATTCATTATCATGTATTCATTTCTGAACAGCATTAATTTAAAATAAAAATACAAATTATTGAAATCAAATACTGATACAGTTTCAGAATTTCTCTCTCTTACCAATCATAACCTACAGCGAAAGATGTTTCAATTACAGGAGCAATGAGCTTTGCAGCTGTCATGATGTATTTTTCTGCCATGGCTTTCCTATATCAAACAGACAAACAGATGAATAAGTTACTTAGAAATATATTAATAAAAGCAGTTTAGATTTCTTTGATAAAATGTGAGTGAATATTCACAATCAAAGCTAACATTTCACAGAGGCTTACAAGCAATGGTCAGCAACACAAGAAAACTTTGTTAAGCCATGTTCAAAGCCACAATGATGAAATATGACGCCCAAGATAGAACTGCCGTTTGGATCCATGGGGTTCACTCTGCAATGCCTTGAACTAAAGAGATACTTGAGAGACGCAAGCTGGCAAAGCTTATACATGAAAGTAACTTACAAAAAGACAATTGTGTGGCAAATGGTAAAACTGAATAACTTCACATTGCTTTTGTACATATATGTATAGGTAACACTGCTCTTTTTCCCATGTAAAGCATTAGTGGAAAATGTCAAACTGTTTTACGAAGCAGGTATACCAATCTACAATACTGGATGAGGTTTGTGCACTCTTTTTTTTCCTTGTATTTATAACAGTTTTTAAAATGGACTTCATTGTTCATACTATTTTATAACTTCTCCATACTTAACATGGAAATGGTATCTTTTCAAGTCACTGTATTATTCTGTAATAATTATGTTTTTATTCAAACTTTCTTCTAAATTCACACACATCTGTGAAAGATACTAAGAGATGCCACGTACCCTTGCCCAGTTTCGCAATGCTTTACCTAACTATGCTACAATATCACAGCCAGGGCACGGCCACCGAAACAATCACGCTGCAGCATGTTGGCACTCCCTGTGTGGCCCTTGTACCACGACCTCTTCCTCAGTTCCGCATCCACATTTCTACATTAGCCTCATTTTAAGAATGGTACGCATACAGAGTTTAAGAATATGCAATCTTCAAGGATGGTAATTTTCACAACACATACTTCCCCTTCAGACCCCCCCAAACTGCTGTGCCAATAGTTCATCCTTTATGTTGCTTAGAGACAAGCTGCGGTCTCTTGAATGTGACATAACAGTATAAACAGTAAGAGAAAAAAGTGGGTAAATTGTCTACCCTCACAATTAAAACTTGGCCCTTCAAAGGACACTATCAAGAGAGTGAAAAAGCAGCTCACAAATTATTTGCAAATTATTTCTCTAAGGAGGAACTTATTTCTGAACTTCTAACGTAATTCTTCTAACTGGATAGAAAGACCAGCGATTCGGTTAGGATGTGCCAAGGATCTGAGCAGACATTTCTTGAGAGCAGATATGCAGAACCCTGAAAAGCACATGAAGATGTTCAACTTCAGCTGCCAGTGCAGCTCAGGCCGCGCTGAGATCCCACTACTGTGGCTAAACTAATGAGGCAGATAACAGCAAGTGTTGGCAAGAGTGGGCAGAAATTCAAACCCTTAACTGGGAGTTTAAAAAAAGAAATCATACAGTAACTTAAGAGTCTGAAATGTTCTCAAAAGCTTACGAATCGACTTAACATAAAACCCAGTAATTTCACTGGTAGCTAGATACTCCAGACGAACCAGAACATACATCCACAGAAACAACCTCTACATGAATATTCATAGCAGCAATGTTAGTAACATCCAGCAGGTGGAAACAATCCAGATGTCACGCACAGGTGTTGTCCGTTTATACACTGGATTATTACTCCGCCATGATAAGTAGGCACTGATACACGTCACCATTCAGATGAACCTTAAAGATACGCCAAGTGAAAGTAGCCATGAAAGATCCTATGTTCTACAATCTCACGTGTATAAGCAGCACAAATTAGGCACATCCTTAGAGGCAGGAAGTATAACTGTTGCTGTTAAGGGTTCAGGGGTTGTTAGGAACTAGGAAGTGTCTGCCACTGCTGTAGAAACCTGCCCCTAACCACTCCCAAATCCGAGTGTGCTGGCCAGCTGCACTGCAAGCCAGTCCTGACACTATGGCAGTCGGAGAAAGCAGCTAGTTACTGCAAAAAGCAGAGCAAAGAGCCAGACATTCCAAGGTTCCTCAAAGGGTTCAGGTCAATGTGTTAAAAAAATTTTTTTTTATATTGTTTACATTGTTGAGAGGGATGCATGGCCATGTGGACCTCCTATTATGGTGGAAAGGGCTGAGGCATGGAGGAAAGTGGGTGCGAGATGTTTCAGTTCTTTTTTTTTTCCACCTATGTTCACTGGGGCATCAGGAGAAGTGGGCCTGTTCACTGCTATCAAATTACACCAGCACCCAGGGATGGGGCACAGCCATTTGATGATGCCTTAGAGACCCCAATGTGGGGAAGAGTGTTCCAAGTTTGTTTCTTGGGTGGTTTTGATATTTTGTCAGCTTCATTGAAGCATGGTTGAAAAAATTCTTTCCAAGGTCTATTGGTTGACCAAGTCCACCTCATGCATCCACAGACATTAAGAACTTTTCTTTTCTAGATCCTTTAGCTGGAGAAAGGCTTTTTGGGGTGATTTTTAAAAATGCACATATTGATAGTTTTTGCCAGCTTCTCAGTTAAGACCTGCAATGTAAGAGAGTACCTCATTGTCACGCTGATCCGCAGGTCTCAGATTCCCAGCATGTCTCCACTCTTTCTATGCTTGTTTGTATACAAGTTTGGTTTTTTAGTGGGAATAGCAGCAAAAAGTTTAGCCACTTCATCTTGCAAGAAATGCACATGTTTTAATTTTAATAAACTACCTTGGGAATCTAATTTACTTTTTCAAGGTTACAGGCGCTTGCCATGGCCTGGCTGTGGCTTGTCCCCTGAGGGTTCGTGCGTTAGATCCTGTCTCCAGTGTGCAATGCTGAGGAGCTGGTGGACTGTTAACAGGTCTGGCCTGGGAGGATGGGGCACTGAGCTCAGACTGAGCTCAGAAGGAATGCATCGAGCTGTCACAGAGGGACTGTTGCAAGAGCCTTCAGCCCGACCCCTGCGTATACTCTGGATTCCCCCTCTCCCTGTGCTCCTGTTACATCACAGACTGTGGGTGTGGTCTTTGCCACAGACGTCATCATGCTTTTTGGACGTTCAACTTCTAAAATCATAAGCATATTAAATCCTTTTTTTTTTTTGGCATTCATTACTCGGGATTATAGCAACAGAAAATTGACTAACAGCCATACACACAACAGATAACTATTTAGATTTCAAAAAGAAAGGAAATGTTAACAAATGCTACGATAACAGAGGAAGTTAGAGGACACGGTGATATATGCAACAAGCCAGTCACAAAAAGAAAAACACTATGTAAGTAGACTGATGGGAGAAATCTAGAGTAACCGAAATCAGAGACAGGAAGGAGATGGCTGCCAGGGTCGGGGAGGTACTGCCTAATGGGTACACTGCCTTCATTTATAACATGAAGGCAGTGCTGTAGACAGAGCGATGTGTGTGTATGTGACACTGCTAGGCCGTATGCTTACATGCTACATTTCCCTATGTGCATTTTACCACAACTTTAAAACAAGGGTTTCCCATTATGTCATATAGTCCTGATATGTGTATTATCTGTTTAGTAACTATAAAAACTTTCAAATCATACTTTGGAGCTTATCACTTGTATCACCAAATATTCTAAGCTATCCATGCCAGTGACTATTTTGAAGACTAACTATACGACAACAGGAACATATATGTTAATAAGGGAGCCCCTAGAAAACTTTCAGACTCGGGGTGATTGCGAGAGGACCCCAATCATTTCGGACCTGATCTCCAGCTCCTAAGGAGAGAAGGGCTGGAGGCGGACTTTCTTCCCCAATGGCCACTGACATAGCAGTCATGTTACACACATCACCTACATAAGAACCTTAATGACAGGATGTGGTGAGCACTAGGTGGGCTGCTCATCCAGGGTGGGAATGGAAATTCTACATCTTACCCTGTCCATCCCTTCCATTAGATTGCTCCTGAATTATACCTTTTGTAATCCTTTTACTGTCGTAAAACGTTTCTGTGTGTTCTCTGGAAGGAGTGGAGGGAAGCCCCAATTTACAGCAGGTTAGTTAGAGGTGCAGGAGCAGTTTTGTGAGACTGCTTAAATCCACAAGCAGTCCTTAACCTATGGAGTCTGTGTTAACTGGGCAGTTAGTATCAGGATTGAATTAAGTTGCTGGGAACTCATTAGGCGTCCAAAAAATGGGATAATTGGTTCTTGATGTGACAAAACTCCAACACTTGGTGTTGTAAATAAGTCGAAATTATTTGTAGTACCTTCATAGAGACAAGGGGGATTTAAATAAACAGAATTTCGTTTCTCATAAATGATATTTAATTAGGCAGTGGAACAAAAATAAATAAATTTAAAAAAATAAAGATAATATAAAGTTTCAAATTACATTAAACATAGAAGAAATGAGAGCTACATGAAAAATCAGAATAACTGAAGCGGAATAACTGGGATCAGCATGAAGACGGATTACTTTGAAGGAGAAAAGAGAAGCTATTAAGTATAGAAACAGTGAAATGAAAGCGCCATTTAAGAAAAACAATGAATATATCAAGCTTTGTAAGAATAATCAGAATAATAAGAACTCTGTTATAAGAATTTAAGTTAAATATTAAGTGCCGCAAACAGTACCTTTCACGCTCCATCTGCCTGAGATGATCATTTTTTATAGCTTCAATCAGTAAATTGGTATGAGGATCATCCTTAAGAAACAAAATTGAAAAAATTAATTCAGAAGTAACAAGAATTCGGATTTCTAACTAATTCCCCTGCTAATTATTACAGAAAACTGAAAAGCAAATTGATCTTTTAAAAACTATTTACCCTTACGTACAGAATTTAATTTCCCCCATCTTGTTTCCAATGACCAATCCCACTGAAGTAATACATATATTTAAAATTTTTTAAATTTACTTATTTTCAAATTATTTTTAGTATTGTTAACATAGTTGAGAGGGCTGCATGCCTATCTGGGCCTCTCATTAGGGTGGGAAGGGTGGAGGCATGGAGGAAGGTGGGTGGGACAAATGTTTCAATATTTCTTCTGTCTTGGGGCATCAGCAGAGAGGGGTCTGCTCCTTGCTGTCCAACTACATCAGCACCCGGGGGTGAGGGACAGTCATCTGATGACACCTTAGAGATCTTGATGTGGGCAAGAGTGTTTCAAGGGTGTTTCTTGAGCCACCCCACATGTCCCCTGTGTTTATCTGGGCATGCTGCATACTGCACAGGCCCTGGCAACTGAGGAGGCCGAGTCCCGACACACACACACACACACACACACACACACACACACGCAGACACACACACTCTAAGGGCAGACCACGTATACTGCGAGATTTCTCTTTGCTTGTGGTTTGAATCCAGAGATCTAGTTGGGCAGACTCCCAAGAAACCTCACCTGGGGTGACTTCAGACTCGACCCTGTGTGCCCCAGCTGTGCAGGGTCAGGTTCGGTCTGCCACCCGCACCAGCCAATGCACATACGGGTAGATGCAGCTGCCTAGCTGGTTCTGCCCCCGGCCCACCTCACGTGAACTGATGAGTGTGCGGCTAGCCCAGCCCAGTCACAGAGCCTGTCCTCATACCAGCGGATGCTGCGGCCCAACAGGGCTGACCCCCTATCACTCCATCAAGCCTGCCTCCAGCCCTGATTTCTACATGTGCTGTGGCCCGCTGTAATGTCCACTGGCTTTCAGGATTTATTGCATGAGCTCACCATATGATTACAGTCAGGATAGACATAAATACATTTGCTTATTTTACTTCAGTAACTATAATAACTGCTATCCCTCCTGATGTAAAAGCATTCAGCTGACTTGCAAGGCTGCCTGGGGGTAATATTCAATGGTCCCCCACCATACCATGGGAGGTAGGCTTTATTTTCTTATTTAGTCTAGGAGGCTTAGTGGGAATTGTTTTAGCTAACTCTTACCTTGTCATTGCACTGCACAATACCTACCATGCAGTAGCACATCTTGATCATGCATTGTCAATAAAGTCTGCATTTGCTGTTACGGCCAGATGTACACACTGATTAAACTGTTCTTGGGCTACATACCTGATGTTGTCTGAGCTAAAACTCACTTTGTTACAATGTCTGCTGGTCTTAATCTCATCTTTTCTCCCAATACCTCACAGGGCTGTCTGGTATGCCTCAATGATACGGACTATCTAGATGCCTATGCTATGTGAAACACAGTCTCATCAATAAGCTCATGTATCTTGCTTACAGCCATAACAATCATAATTTTTGTAATCTGAGAGACCTTTGCCTATCAATGTGAGGTTTCAACTGCAGAGGTAACTGCAGCGAACGCCCCTACCTTATCGCACAGCCGAAGAGCCAGCCTACATTAAAGCCTAGAACAAGGAAGGAAGGAATCAAACCTCTATAACTGGTTCAACCCAACCACATAACCTCTGTCTTTCTTTTTGAGACAAAGTACAAGCTATTATGTATCTTTGTCGAAGTTAATTCACAGGTTGAATCCCTGTATATCCCCATGGCATACTCAATCCAAACTGGCTTCCGAGATGCCTTGTCCCCTACCACAGGAGAACTTGCACACTTTCATGAGCGCACAGTAACAGTTGCTTTCCTGATTGGCACTCTGGTCTTACACATTATCACACTCACACTTACCACTAAACACACACACAAGCACTAGAGACCATCTGAATGATCCTCCCTGCTGTCATTCTAATTCTTACTGCTCTTCCATCTTCGCAAATCCTACATGTAATGGGTGAAATTAACCTATCTTTAACAGGTGAAATGATGGGCCACCAATGGTACTGACTATGAAGATTTGAGCCTACGTCCCCTCCAAAGCCAGGTGATGTACAATTACCAGAAATCAACAACTGCATAGTCCTTTACGTATAACTTTGGGTTCACATGTTAATTTCATCACTAGATGTGTTTCACATCACTAGGACTAAAACCTGATGCTATATCTAAATCAAGCAACATTTAGGTCTGGCCAACCAGGTTATGCTTTGGTCAGTGCTCAGAAATCTGAGGATCGAACCAGTTTTATGCCTATCATTCTTGAAGTAGTCCCTCTTGAACACTTTGAAAACTGATCTCTCTGTGCTATAAGGATATAATGAAATGCCACAGCTAGATACCTCAACATAACTTTTTACTATTGTCTCCATAATGCTCGCCCTATTCTCTCTAATTCAACTCAAATTCTACAAACACAACTTCCCTGCCAACCTTTCACCAAAAGGATTTGAACTAACTAAACAAAGCAACCCATGAGAAAATAAATGAACAAGTATCTATTCATGGGCTTGGCACTGTAGCCTAGTGGCTAAAGTTCTCTTCTTTCACACACCGGGATCCCATGCGGGCCCAGTTCTAATCCCAGCAGCGGCCCCTGCTTCCCATCCAGCTCCCTGCTGTGGCCTGGGAAGGCAGTCGAGGATGCCCCAAAGTTTTGGGACCCTGCACTCACGTGGGAGACCTTGAAGAAGTTCCTGCTCCTGGCTTCAGATCTGCACAGCCCTGGCCATTGCGCTCACTTGGGAAGTGAATCATCAGATGGAAGATCTTCCTCTCTGTCTCTCCTCTCTGTATATCTGACTTTGCAAATAAATAAATAATTAAATCTCAAAAAAAAAAAACCTACAACTATTCCCACCTTTACTTACCCCTTCAATAATACATCTACGAATTTAACTCCTCATTACCTTATTTCCTGCATTCCTATTTCTGTCACCCATTGCCTTATTAACAATCAACCTGTCATGGTACAACAGTGACTGGTCCAACTGATCCTAAAGCAACTAATACTTATCCCATCTGGGCACTAGCAGGAGACTCAACTGTTCCACTTGTAAACCAGCTCCCTGCTAATGTGCCTGGGATAACAGCAGAGGGTGGCTCAAGAACTTGGTGCCTTGCACCCATGTGGGAGACCAAGAAGGAGATCCCAGCTCCTGCTTTTAGCCTGGTCCAGAACTGGCTGTTGTGGCCAATATGGGAATGTACCAGCAGATGGAAGATCAACGGTTTTGGACTCTCTATTTCCCTATGTAACTTTGCCTTTCAAATAAATAAAAGTAAATATTTAAAACACATACAATGTAAAGGCCAGTGTGACTGCTCAGTTGGCTAATCCTTTACCTGAAAGCATCAACATCCAACATGGCCACCGGTTTGTGTCCCAGCCACTCCACTTCCTATCCAGCTCCCTGCTTATGGCCTGGGAAACCAGCAGAGGTTGGTCCAAAGTCTTGGGACCTTGCATCCTGAGGCAGACCCAAGAGAGGCTCCTAGCTTTGGATCAGTCCAGTTCTCGCTGTTATTGCCATTTTTAGAATAAACCAGAAGAAGGAAGATCTTTATCTCTCCTTCTCTCTGAAGGTGTGCCTTTACAATAATAAATAAGTAAATCTGAAAAGATACAGATATACATTATACCAGTTCATAACTATAGCCAATTTCAAATGGTTTGACTTAAAGTAGTAGCATACTAACAATTTAAGTATAAAAATTGAGAAATTATTTCAGGGCCCAGCGGTGTGGTCTAGTGGCTAAAGTCCTCGCCTTGAACGCACCAAGATCCCATATGGGCGCCGGTTCTAATCCTGGCAGCCCCACTTCCCATCCAGCTCCCTGCTTGTGGCCTGGGAAAGCTGTTGAGGACGGCCCAAAGCGTTGGGACCCTGCACCTGCATGGGAGACCTGGAAAAGAAGTTCCTGGTTCCCAGCTTCGGATTGGCGCAGCCCTGGCCGTTGCGGTCAAGACCTTCCTCTTTGTCTCTCCTCCTCTCTGTATATCTGACTTTGTCATAAAAATAAATAAATCTTTTAAAAAAATTGAGAAATTATTTTTAAAAGCATTAAGAAGATAAACAATCTCATTTCCCAGAAACAATTTCTTTGTATTTTTGGTCTATATTCTTTCAATCTGTTTATATATGTGTATATGTATGTTTCACTTTATATACTATTTTTCACATCTTTGGAAATAATTTTTTTGTGGCTATATTGTGTTTCATTCTAGAAATAAAGGTAAAGGGCTACGTTTTTTTAAATATTTAATTATTTTTATTTGAAAGTCATATTTACAGAGAGAAGGAGAAACAGAAAGATCCTCCATCCACTAGTCCACTCCCCAAGTGGCCACAATATCCAGAGCCGAGCCAACTTGATGCCAGGAATCAGGAGCCTCCTCCAGGTCTCTAATGTGGGTGCAGGTCCCAAAGTTTTGGGCCGTCCTACACTGCCCTCCCAAGCCACAAGCAGGAGCTGGGTGGGAGGTGGGGTAGCTGGGACAGGAACCAGTGCCTATATCGGATCCTGGTGAATGTAATGTGAAGATTTAGCCATTAGACTATCACGCTGGGCCCTTGAGTTACATATATTTTTAATGTATTTAGTATACATAGTTTACTGCCCACTGCTGAACAATGAGTTCAAGTCCAGCTATAGGAAACTGTCTAGGTTGCCTTGTACCTAGGCAAATGCTACACAACTGGGAGACAAGCAGTCAATAGCTGCTCTGCAATTTGGACCTGATAAATGCCCATTCTGTGTTACCTATACCAGTGTGCCAGCACACTCTGTGCATGGCAGGGGGTGGGGAACTCTGGGCACACTGGACACACTTAGATAGCCCCCAGGCATGCTACTGTGTGGTGGTGGGTGGGCTACAGATTGCCTGGGGAAAGGGATCCGGAACATATTGGAGTGGGAGTCATGGAGGGCATGCTTGACAGGTGAGGAGTGACTTCTGGGGCACCCAAGGACTAGGCCATCACACTTGCAGGTAGGCAAGGGAGCTGGGACTAGGTGGTTTAGATGGGGAAACTGGAGGGCATGTCTAGGTCAGGTCAAGGCATCTGCCCAAGTGGGAGACCTGTGCTGGGCTAAGTGTTCCCACTGGCACATGTTAAAACTGGGGCTGGGAGGCAGGCTTGTCTAGGCTAGGCTACAGTACCTGCCAGAAGTGTCAAGACAGGGGGTGGGCCAGGCACGCTCAAACAGGAGAGAACCAGATCTGGAGGCAGATTCTGCAGGGGATTTGTAAGCCCCCCAGTGTGGGACTGAAGCACCCACCAGTTAACAGAGCTGGGGATGCTGCAGGGCCAACCCAGGTTAGCCTGCAGAACCCAGACAGTCTCATGAGCTGGGGCTACAAGGAGGCCGGGCTGGGCCTGAGTGCAGGCCATGCCAAGCAGGGCTGAGAGCAGGCCTGGCCTGGTTGGGAACTGCAGACACTTATCTGTTAGGCTGCAGCACATGCCAGGAGATGCCAAAACTAGGGCTGGGGTGGGTCTGGTACGAGTTACTGGGGCTTGCCCTGACAAGGCCATGGCACTTGCTGGTATGCATGAGGACCAGGTCTGTGGTGGGCTGGCCTGGGCTGGACTGCAGCACCCATCAGTTTGTACGAGAATGGGGCTGGGGAAGAACTCACCAGGTATGCCCACTGATTGGTGGACCAAACCTGACACTTTCTAGCTAATGCACACAAGGGTCAAGTCTGAGGTCAGCCCAGGTGAGGTTTCTCCGGGGGCTCCCCAAGATTACTAGACTCAAACCCTGGCCACAGGGAAAATCATAATAAATGTGGTACGAGCTTGCAGTGTATGTATCGGGACTGGGTTTCCTCAGTTGCTGATGCCTGTGCAGTGGATGACATGCCCAGATGAACACGGGGAACAAGACAGCCAGTTCAGCTAGATCAGCAGAGGACACTGAATGCCTAGTCAGAGGACGAGAAACAGAGCAAGATGGACAACTCTCCCGACCAAGCTTCGCTGTCAAGTATGTGGGTATGTGGATGCATCAAGGTGGACTTAGTCAGCCAATGATCCTTGGAAAAATCTTCTCAATCCTGGTGCAACAAAGCGTGGTGGGATAATATTTCAGAACTATCAAAAGTACTCAAGTAACACCCTTGGAATATTCTTCACATTCAGGTCTCTAAGGCGCCATCAATGACTGTCCCCCATTCTTGGCGTTGATGCGTTTTGCCAACTAGGAGTGTTCGCTCCCTTTCTCCCCAGGGGCACAGGAGAAAGAAAATGACAGAGAAAACAAAACAAAACAAAACAGCTGAAACATTTGACCCACCTAGCTTCGCCATACTTCAACCCTCCCCATCCTAATCAAAGGTCCACATGGGCACCCATTCCTCTCAACTATATATTTTACTAAAAATAAAATAAAAAGTGGAAAAAAAAAAGCCCAGAAAACAAACAAAAGCCCATAATGAATTTAAAAGGCATTGGTCACTGCTCTTGTAGTACAACTGCCAAAAAATACTATTTCAGGGCCCGGCGGCGTGGCCTAGCAGCTAAAGTCCTCACCTTGAACGCACCAGGATCCCATATGGGTGCCGGTTCTAATCCCAGCAGCTCCATTTTCCATCCAGCTCCCTGCTTGTGGCCGGGGAAAGCAGCTGAGGATGGCACGACACTTTGGGACCCTGCACCCATATGGGAGACCCAGAAGAAGTTCCTGGATCCTGGCTTCAGATCGGCATAGCATCGGCCGTTGCGCTCACTTGGGGAGTGAATCATCGGATGGAAGATCTTCCTCTCTGTCTTTCCTCCTCTCTGTATCTCTGACTTTTCAATAAATAAATAAATCTTTTAATAAAATAATACTATTTCTAGCTGTGTGGATTTGCCTTTAAATTTTGGTTATGGCTTTTGCTTTTTAAAGTAATCAAATAAACTGATCTTTTCTACTATGTGGTGTTTTCTTATGTGTTCCTATAAAATATGGAGGCCCTTCTCCAACTTGGAGATTAAAAAAAAAATACTCATTTTCCACTGGAAAAGGATATAAACAAATAAATAGGTCAAAAAAGGATACTGGGGTTCAGTTACAGCCTCACTCCTGGGAGCCCCCCCTTCTGTTTCCTGCCTTCCTCTCAGTGCCTGGTGAGGGCCCCAGCTCCTCTGCTTCCGGTGCAGCTTCCTGGGAAGCCCCCGGTGATGTCTCTAGTGCCTGGATCCTTGCTGGCCTCATGAGTTACCTGGACCCAGCTCCCTGCTTCAGCGTGGCCCAGCACTGGCCGACGTGGGCACCTGCAGAGTCAACTAGGGGGGAGGGGATCTCTATCTTCCTGCCTTCCAAATAAAAGTAAAAATAGTTTCATGATGAAGAGATTACTCTTAGCAACATCCAACTTTATGTTCCTTAAGGTTCTTCTAACTAAAATTGTGCGGACTTAATTGTGTGTCTTAATCAGACTTTGTAGCCTCACTTCTACAGAGGCCCACGGTCAGCCTAATTTAAATAGCCGATGAATACATCAATAAGGAAACACAGGTCTGGAAGAAACGTGAGAAGTCACGTGTTGCAACGCCCTCTGAAAGCAGAAGAGCAGCGCCAACAGGGCCACAGGTCCACGCTGCACTGTCATACTCACGCTTGGTGAGATGTACTTGTCATCTTCGTCGATTTCTAACGGCACAGCAATCAGTTTTTGGAATGACTTCTTCATTTTTTCTTGATCTCCAATAGCAAAATAGCTAAGGATTAGGTTGAAGCCGGCCTTCAGGTTGGGCGACGTACTCATTATGTGCTCAAACGAACTAATGGCGTCTGAATATTGACCCGTTTTAATAAACGTGACTCCAATGTTCTGCATTATTTTAATCCTAAATAAGAATAAACAAGGGTTAGCCCTGAAAGTCTGAACTCTTCAACATAGTATACAAACTGTTTCACTTCCCTCTTCTGCCCCATTTTACTTCTGTTTTACGTATGTTACACAATAATCGTTGCGTCCAGGTGCTGATTTTTCAAAGCAAGCCCATGCCCCTTGACTGCTTCTCCAGCCCTGCTGGGTAGCCGTTGATTTCCTTTGAGTCGTCGTGTTTTCTCTAGACACTGCATAGAAGTGGACTCCCACCACAGGCGACACTTTATGTCTGGCTTCATCCATTTAGTATAATCTTTTTGAGATCCTCCTAACAATTTTTTTATTCATTTTTCACTGCCAAATAGCAACTATTCCAAAGCAGGGGCTAGATCATTTACTTATTTCTCCAATGCCCGTTTGATGGGAATTTGAGTTATTCTCCTATGCTTGGCTGTTACAAAGAGTGTTGTGATGAATGTCTGTGTGATGAATGAACGTACCATAGCGGATATTAATTGCCTTTGTGACAACACACATTCCCCCTTTTGCTTTTTGGCATATTTTTGTAGGAGCAGATTTGCCAGCCATGTGGCAAATTTATGTTTAGGAAACTGTTTTCCAAAGTAGCTACACCATTTTAGCTCTCCAAAATATAAGATTTGTGATTTTGCTATATCCCTGTCAAAACAGGTTATGACAGTATCTTTTCGATTTTGGTGATGTGGTTTCACCTATTTCTAACCACTGCTTGCTCTAATCCCTTTGTTGGAACTAACTGTGCTCCCTCTGTGTGATCCTATCACCAGCACGATTGATTATTTCCCTGACTCGTTCATGTTCCCTCTGCAGAGAACGCTAATCCTTGTCTGTTTCCCATTTATGGAATTAATCTGAAGTACTGCCTCATAATGTCTTCTGGATTCATAATTTTGCTCTGAATAATTATTCTTGAACCTGAATTACTGTAACATGTATTTCCTCAGTTATTGATTATCAAACACTTACTTGCTAGTTAGTATCACTCTAGTATGTTCAGGTTCTTGACCTCACCTGGACTGGAAGCACCCCAATGGTACTGTACTCTATGAGCTGGATAAGATTTGCTCATGAGAATGGAATCATACCAAGTTTACAAAACAAATGGCAACGAAAGGCAGTGTTTACGAATAAATTCATTTTCACAGTGGACCTGGAAATCATGACCAGCAAATATGCTGTCAGTGTTCTATGGTCCATTAGGTAATTTGCTGTTTCTGCTCCTAAATGTTGTGGGATTAGACAATACTTCAGCCGCGCATTTTCTTCTAGGATTCAAAAATAAACCCCACTTTCTACCATTTTATTACAAAGCTTTAGTAAGAACATAAGGGGATCTTAACTTCCAACCGTGCATCCTAAAGTCTGATATATTCTAGGACAACTATTGTGATTGATCTTGTATTGGCATTGAGTAACACCACATCCCTAATAGCCTGTAGGGTCAACTCCTGTATTAAACAATCAGCTTAGTTCATTCCAGGTGATCACACACTATGCCTTTAACCTTGAACTTGGCATTACACAAATCTGTGCAGAATCACAAAGAGAAAGATCAAAACATTACACACGCAGCATACATTTAGTTAATATTTCTCATATGGAAACACTTCGAGATGTTTAACTCACTGACAACAGATCACGGCACTTAAATCCCAGTTAACCTGGTGTAGACTTACCTCATTTCTTTCTGAACACTTGGAATCTGATCTAATGCCATTCGGTAGAACTTAATTGCCTTGGAATAATTTCTTTGTTTTAAATAAATATTTCCCATATTCACCTTCAATTTTCCTAATTAAAAAAAGAGCGGATGATATTTTTACATTTTTCATGCTATTTTAATTACCTTATTTCATATTCTCTGAAGCTTTTCAAGTCACAAAACTTCAGATACTGCGCAAAATTCTAACTTTATAAATGGTTATAATGTTTATATAGCTTTATAATGTGTGTATATATACATTATACATTTATGATTTATAACATATTATATTAATACTATATAGTATATGTGTGTTTATTTTATAAATAAAACAATATATGTACATTTATTTTATAACTAATACAATATTTCTATATAAACATATAATTAATTGTAAAACATAAAATATATAAATATAATTACATATGTGTATTTAATGCTTATAATCTTTCCCTGTTTCTGAACACTAATCTTCCCTCTGGCCCACTCCCCAGATGCCAGAGCCATGAATACGATCCAGGCATCCTTGCCCCGCATTCTCTCCTGCAATGTCCTGGAGTGTGCATCAGCAGGGACCCACACTCTGGAGCCATCTCCCACACTCCGCCAGGTATATATCAGCAGGCAGCTGGAGTTGGGAATGGGGCAGGACGCAGGCCCAGGCACTCCAAAGAGAGGTGGAAACATCTCAGTCCATGGCCCAAGGCCACCCCATCCCATTTGGGTGGCACAGATTTGTCACCGCTGACCCTCAAAGTCCACACGTCAGAAATCCATTATGGGGCACAACTGTCCTGACTATTAACAACCAACAACTGCCAAGCACACAATTAAATAAAATAGTCGAAATCCACACATACAAGAGGTCTTCAGAAAGTCCATGGAAGACGAATAGTTTGAAAAAACCATTACAAATTTCCAAAAAAATATTTGTACCAAAATAAACTTATCTTTTGATTTCATTTTTTTTTTTTCTGTGAACTTTCTAAAGTACTCTGAAGGCTTCTTGGACATAAATTTAAGTAAGGGAAAGAACATTCCATAGTTTGCCATAGCTCATTCTACTTGGAACCACCACATACACTCTTTGTTTACCGTCAGGTAATTTGCCTCCTGCCGATTACTCGCCTTCATTTGTATTCACACAGATTTTAATTTAAGCAGTATCACTGAGCAGGACACTACTGTCACAAACATGATTTTGCTTAGCGGATAGGGATACTTCATGAAGTTAGAAGATATAAATTAACACTACAAAAGAAATACATCTGTTAGAAAAAAAAGGATTATACCCACCTGCATTGCTAAACATCTTATTCTTCACTATAACCTGATATGTGTTGAGTGCTTCAGCATACATTTCATTAACTGAATATTGATTGGCCAAGTTGAAAAGAACCTGAGGGAGAAATATTGCAAAATATATACTAACTATTTTAGGCCCCCACCAGCTATACATTTTCTAGAGATTAAGTCCCTATAGCAAGCTTAGCTACACATATCAACACACACAACCAGTTAGGAAATAAAGCAGACAAAAGAAATGCCTTTCATCCCAAATAAATCAGAACAATAAGACAGGAACAGCTGTCCTCTAAATTTCACTTAATTTTCTATATTATATTTAAGCAGTATTAATCTTAGAGAGAATGCCAAAGAATAAATGTGTATCGTTAACACTGCTGCTGAATGAAATGAGCAACACACTACACTAACTGTTTTTTACAAATGCAAATTAAACATGCCAAAACACCTTAAGCCTCAAAGTATGTCACCGAAGAATTTGCAAAAGCGCACTGCATAAAATTTTAAGGTAAGTTATAGTAAATTATGTTAAATGACGTAAACAAAGTGATCACCACAGGTTATCTTCTGATTGAAAAGCCTCTTGAAATTTAAAAACAATAGCTATATAAATAGTAAAAAAAAAAAAAATTCACATTTTAAACTTACAAACCCTTTCCAAACTTCAGTTAGTACACAAAAACAACCTACTGGAAACACATCCTTTTAGGCACCAGTATAAGCATCAAGGAGACAACTTTCCAAAATGAAAGAAATGTTGCTAGAAATTAGAAGCATTAGCTTGTTTCCTAGAAACCTGATAAAATATTATACTCCCAATTTGATGTCCTTGAAAAAGCTTACATCAGAATCCTTTTATAATATCCCTAACTACAGCATTTAGGACGTATTTATAATATTAGCAAACCTCAAAATAAATTTTCAAGTATGTGTCCAGTTGTTTAAAAAATAAATTGAATAACGAAGTATTCGATTTAGTGCAAGTATCTCATGAACTAAGTTTTATTACTAATATGATACTAAGCACTTGAGGACCAGTAAGATTTGAAAACATAGTAGGGAAGAAAAAAATAAAAAAACTCTGAATCTACGATCCTAGAAAAAATATACTCCACAGGCATTTCAATACTTACTGAGTAAGTTAAATCCAAATTGATGTTTTCTGGAGTCGTCACCTGTTCTCGTTGTCTCACTAGAACTCTCTCTTTTCTTCCTGCATCTTTCGCCTTTTCCAAGGCCTGAAATCAGACACACACACACAGTACACACTCCTGGGCACATTAACCAGCTTTTGCATCTAGGAAATGTATATATAAAGCATGGCTAAAAATTTTGCACTCTCTGATTCTTGGGATTCTTTGTACTCCTACCAAAACCATTCCATAGAAACAAAAGGACTTTGAGGATTTAACTAAACTGAGGCTCAACAACACAGAAACGCCCTGTGGGTTTCTGGGAAAGAGGAAGAAAGTATCAGGAATGCGATGTAGCGTGTGCGTGCCCTGTGTCCGTCACCTCCCGCCACCCTCTCTGGGATGTGATGTAGTGTGTGTGCCCCCGTGCCCATCACCTCCCGCCACCTTCTCTGGGATGTGATGTAGTGTGTGTGCCCCCGTGTCCATCACCTCCTGCCACCTTCTCTGGGATGTGATGTAGCGTGTGCGTGCCCTGTGTCCGTCACCTCCTGCCACCTTCTCTGGGATGTGATGTAGTGTGTGTGCCCCCGTGCCCATCACCTCCCGCCACCCTCTCTGGGATGTGATGTAGTGTATGTGCCCCCCCCCATGTCTCTCACCTCCCCCTCTTTGGGATGCGATGTAGTGTGTGTGTCCCCGTGCCCATCACCTCCCGCCACCTTCTCTGGGATGTGATGTAGTGTGTGTGCCCTCGTGTCCGTCACCTCCCGCCACCCTCTCTGGGATGTGATGTAGTGTGTGTGCCCCCGTGCCCATCACCTCCCGCCACCTTCTCTGGGATGTGATGTAGTGTGTGTGCCCCCCCATGTCTCTCACTTCCCCCTCTCTGGGATGTGATGTAGTGTGTGTGCCCCCGTGCCCATCACCTCCCGCCACCCTCTCTGGGATGTGATGTAGTGTGTGTGTCCCCGTGCCCATCACCTCCTGCCACCCTCTCTGGGATGTGATGTAGTGTGTGTGCCCCCGTGTCCATCACCTCCCCCTCTCTGGGATGTGATGTAGTGTGTGTGCCCCCGTGCCCATCACCTCTCACCACCCTCTCTGGGATGTGATGTAGTGTGTGTGCCCCCGTGTCCATCACCTCCCCCTCTCTGGGATGTGATGTAGTGTGTGTGTCCCCGTGCCCATCACCTCTCACCACCCTCTCTGGGATGTGATGTAGTGTGTGTGTCCCCCGTGTCTCTCACCTCCCCCTCTTTGGGATGCGATGTAGCGTGTGCATGCCCCCGTGTCTCTCACCTCCCGCCACCTCTTTGGCTTTGGCCATTTGTACCTACCACCTTTCTCCCCTCAACTCCTGAACCTCTGGGCATTTTTATTCCATCTAGCGAGACAGGAATTCAGAGGAATTTTGTTTGGCTTCTGATATGTTCAAAATATAATACTAGTGAAACGGTACCTGCTGCCCAGTATGACAACAGATGCTTAGTTTGGCTCATATTCTAGTCAGAATGCCAAGAACCTTTCCCTAATTTCTACTGAGAGACTAACCATGGACAAATTCAACATTAGACTTTTTTTTTTTTAGAACTAGGTTAAAAAAAATCTCAGTTCTGTGAGCAATAAAGGTAGTTCCTAATACTGAACGTATCTCCCGAATGGCTCATTGAAAAGAAACCATGAGTTCTTCAAGCAATAAAAGTAGCTTTTTATACTGAGTATGTCTCTCTAATGGTATTCATTAACCTGATAACTAAGTTACAGAAATTGTGTTTAGTATGACAGTGTAACATGAATAAATTAAATTAAGGGATTTAATTTCAAAGGCAGAACTGGAATCTCAAAAAGCAACTATGATTGCACAGTCTACATAGGAAGTACTATTTCAGGGCACGGGGGCTTCCATTCTGCAGTCAGAACTGTGGGTGGTTCATAGGCAGCACACTCAAGTCTAACCCAACAGCTGACCTGACTGCAGAATTAAACCAATCGCTCTGCTGGGAACACTTTGCCCTACAGAAAAGACCAATGCCAAAAGTTAGAACATCAGCCACACTTTTTGACACCAGAGCTTGTGTGGCAGAGACACAGTTTTCAGTTCTTAAAACAACTGCTTCAGCCCAACCCTCTGGCCCACACATGGTTAAATGAAAAAGAATCAACCCATGTGTATGTCAGACACGATTGCAGATGAGTGCAAAAGCAAACCCAGAGAGCCACATACACTTCATTGTAACGCATTGTTCCATCTGGTGACCTTACCAGTTTTAAGTCTCCACAACTGTTGGCAATACAGCTTTCCTCCACCAACTCATTGACTTTCTTCTCTAACTGTCTAATCTTTTCTTCTGGACTAATAAAGAAATAAATAAATGTAGTTTAAAATCATGTAGCTACCAATGATCCATACTAAAAATTAATTTACTTTTAATATTGTCCATTATATGTTTTCAAAATTAAGGATGGGTAAGTGTTCAAATTGCTCCATTTCCAACCCAGCTTCCTGTTAATGTGCCTGGGAAGCCAGCAAAAAATGCCCTAATTTCTTGGGCCCCTGTACCATGTAGATGGAGTTCCTGGCTCCTGGCTTCCGCCTTGCCCAGCCCTGCCAAGGCCATCTGGGGAAGAACCAGCAGATGGAAGATACCCATCTTGTTCTCTTTCTGTAACTCAGCCTTTCAAACAAATACATCTTTAGAGAGAATGAAAAAAACAAGAAAGAACTTCCAAAAAAATAAAAATTAAATAAAATTAAGGATAGGCCACATACATGGCAGACCTGTGGAAAGTTGCTGGCTTTGGCTTAACCCAGCCTTGGCCATTGCAGAATCTGGGAGAGCAAACCAACAAATGGAACATCTCTCTCTCTTTGTAACTCTGACTTCCAAATAAATAAATAAAAATTACACTTTTCAATCAATAATGGTTTGACAGACTAACTTCCCATAATTCTATTTTTTTAAAAAAAAGTCCTCTTAAACAACTAAAAAAAAAAAAAACATTTATTTTCATTTGAAAGGGAGAGTTACAGAAAGAGAAAGAGACAAAGAGAGACCTTCCAACCTCTTCATTTCCCAAATGGCTGCAACGGCAAGGGCTAAGTTGTTCTTAAGCCAGGAACTTTTCTAGGTCTTCCACACAGGTGCAGCGACACAGCCACTTTGGCCATCCTCCACTGCTGTCCCTGGCCACTTGCAGGGAGCCAGATCAGAAGTAGAGCAGCTGGGACATGAACTGGAGCTCATATGGGATGCCAGCATTACAGGCATAAGCTCAGACGGTTATGTCATGACCCTAGCCCCTAAAGTAAGCTATTGGTTTTCATTTTTAGATTTTTAAAGATTTATTTCACTTCTGGGCTTGGCACAATAGCCTGTGGCCAAATTCTCACTTTGCAACTGTCAGGATCCCATATGGGTGCTGGTTTGTTTCCCAGATGCTCCACTTTCCACCCAGCTCCGTACTTGCGGCCTGGGAAAGCAGTAGAGGATGGCTCAGAACCTTGGAACTATACACCTGACTGGGAAACCCAGAAGAAGCTCCTTGTTCCTGGCTTCAGATCAGCTCTGCTCTGACCGTTGTCCCATTTAGGGAGTGAAAGAGCAGATGGAAAATCTCTCTCTGCCAGGAGTTTCATCCAGGTTTCCACTTGGGTGCACGGGCCCAAAGATTTGATCATCTTCTATAGACTGCCTGGCGCATCAGGAGGAAGATGGATAAGAAACGGAGCAGCCAGGACTCAAACTGGTGTCATATGGACGAAGGCACTGCAGGGGATCACTTAGTCCATTACACCACAATGCTAGCCCCTAAAATAACCAGTTCTTACAGGATCTTCAACTGACCTCATTTTGTCTTCAAGAAAATCAGTAAGGCAATTTAAAAAAAAAAAACACAAACTAAAATCATATCTTTACGCCAAACATAATAAAAGCACACAGCACACGAAGAGCTAGTGTTTTCAACTAGACTGCTTTGCTAGTTCCAAGAATCAGGAATGATGTTTCAACACTCTATGATGACACAGACATTTCAAACAGTAAAGAACTGTATATTTGCAAAACAATACTTTTAAGATATGCCACATCAATAAAACAGCAGAAGGACTTACGTACCTGTCTTCATTTTTGGCTTCCAGAGGAGGAGCAGGGCCCCTGGACTGACCAAGAGGGTCAAACACAGAGCCTGAGACACATTTAAAAGTCCAGAGTCAACTTCAAATCCAGACAAATGGAAGAAAACAGGAAAATACAAAGTCTAAAAAAAATTTTTTTTTAATTTTTATTGGAAAGTTATAAATACAGAGAGGAGGAGAGACAGAGAGGAATATATTCTATCTGATGGTTCACTCCTCAAATGGCTGCAACAGCCAAAGCTGCACCAACCCGAAGCCAGGAACCTGGAGCCTGGAATCTGTTCCAGGTCTCCCACACAGGTGCAGGGTCCCAAGGCTTTGGGCCGTCCTCCACTGCTTTCCCGGGCCACAAGCAGAGAGCTGGGTGGGAAGTGGAGCTGCCAGGATTAGATCCGGCGCCCATATGGGATCCCGGTGTGTGCAAGGTGAGGACTTTAGCTGCTAGGCTATGGTGCCAGGCGCAATGCAAAGTCTTCTACAAGCCATTTCATTTGCCTGCTTCGAAAATATGTTATATTACCTATTGGTAGATGAAGACAGCATTCATCGCTACACAAACACTTCATATATTGGAAGTTTGTCAGGATTTCCAGCATACATAATACTAAGTAACTAAAAGGTATATACAAAAACTTTAGTTTTTTCTCACAGTATTTTACGCCTACAATGAGCTCTAAGTTATCAGCTCCCCAAATGCCCAAGAGCGAGCTCGACAGTCAGTGGGATCTCCCAGGCGGTCGGCAGGAATTTCGTCTCTGCTGCCTCGCAGGGTGTGCCCCAGCAGGAAGCTGGAACTGGAAGCAGAGCAGACTGAGTCCAAGGACTCCAATATGGGATTCAGGTGCTCCACCTGGGAGGCCCATCACCGGCCCTAGACCGTCGTATATACTTAAGCACTCTTCCTGCCTTTCAAGGTTTTAATCAATCTCTAAGTTATATAAAATACAATGCACATATTTAAACTGTACAGTTCCATATGTTTTTGACAAATTACACACTAGAGCAGTAACCGCCCCATTTCAAGAGTCAGGATGTTTTCAACACACCTTTTCTTTCTTTGTAGTACCTAAAAGAATGATGCATCTTATACCTACTGTCATATCAGGTTTTGTTTGAAACAGAATTAATATTTACATGGAAAAACAGTAAAAATGAAAAGATCTAAAACCTAAAAAGTAGTGTAACAAACCTCTCAAAGCTGCTTTGGTAAAGCCAGCGGCTCTCACTGCTGTCATGGGTCTGGTAACTCCATCCTTCAGAGAACAAAAACCATTACAAATTACTCTTAATAAAAGACCTACCTCCCCAGGATGCTTCTAAATGACATGCAGTTTAATGCAATGCTGATTCTGAAAAATCATTTCTGTCTCTTTTTGGATCAATCCTGCTGATACTTTCTCTTTATAAAATTTCAATTTTTTTTTTTTAATCTAACTGAACTTACAAATGAGCTTGTTAGCTAGCTACTTTACTATCTCCGGCTGGCCTCTATGTTTCTAAGAGAAATCACAGAAAGTCTTATAAACGCTAGTATACCAAAAAACAGGTCCCAGAGTCCCTCACACACACACCTTGGTCCTTGGTTCATTCCCCAGTAGGACTACACTTGACAAAAGAGATCCTGCTGCAAAGATTTACAGTAGTCCAAGCTCAACCCCATCATTTAAAGAATCAGGGTCACTGTGTAAGCAAGATCTTCAGCATTTAAAAGTAATACAGGAACAAAACTGGGGTAATTATCTCAGGTCACAAGAAAGGCACCCCATGAACCACCACTGAGAGGGATACCTGAATAGCTGCTGTGATTGGTCGGCCCAGGGAGGACGTCAGGGAGGTCTTGGACTGGCGAACAGAAAACTCAGTTACTGGGATTCCTGAAAACACTGCCCTTTAACTTTATAAACTAAATTGAAGAAGTTTTTCTTGTAACATTTTTTTATTCATCCAGCAAATCCACTAAAGTATAATTTTTTTTTTTCCATTACTGCAGAGTAAGGGCCAGAAACTAGCAGCCAGCAGCTTTTTATTAAGGCTTTACTGGAACAGCCATCCTCCATTCCTTGCACACTGCCGGTGGCTGTTTCTGCCATACAAATGCAGACCTGCATGTTTGCGATGCAGATCACATGACCTGCACAGTATACAGTAGCTGGCTCCTCACAGTTCAAGCCTGACGGCTCTTATCCTGAACCATCACCAATGCATGCTTCAGGAGTCACACAGGCTTTCCTCTATTCCTCAAACACTGGAACGCCAGGAAGCAAGTGCCCTGGACCTCTCTGCTCTGAAGCCGCTTTTCTGACCTCTAAAAAAATACTGTTGTTAAGACCCAGGAATCCGGGCTGGCCACCTGCTGAGGCTCGGCCCCCTCCATTTCTGATCCAGCTCTCTGCTATGGCCTGGGAGAGCAGTGGGGGAGGATCCAAATGTTTGGGCCCTGCTGCCCTGTGGGAATTCAAGACCAAGCTCCCGGCCTCAGCCTGGTGGAGTGTTGGCCCTCGCAGCCCTCTGGAGAGGAAACCAGCAGATGAAGATCTCTCTCTGTGTCTCCCCTAACTCTGACTTTCAAATACATAAATAAACTTTGAAGAATAAAATGTTTAAGAGTTACTATCACACTTCATTCCCCTATTATTTCATGTAAGTTGAAATAACCCAATTGTGATTTGGGCAATATTTGGGCAAAAAAAAAGTTCATGACTTTTTATTACAAATATATACAAACAAATTACTTGTATATGCCTATGTTGATGTATTTACAAACAGAACTCTAGTCACATACACAACTATAATCAAGTTGGTTTTTTTTTTCAAAGTTGTTTTTAGAATCTAAATACTTAATGCCAAAAAAAACCCCACAAATGGTGGAAAACAATTTTGAGCATGAAATTATCTATGTAAAATTCCAAATTCAGTATTTGAAATTTATCATTTGCTAAAATACATTAACAAGCAAGATCTGCCAGTGATGTGTAACAAAAAGACTGGTAATTTCAAAAACTTTGATGTAGTATCTTTCCTCTACAGGTCTCTAAAAACAAGTATAAGCAAGACCCAGATTTATGACTCGGAAATGCTTGATCTTCATTTTACTAGTTAGCAAGTTTTTTATAATTGCAAACACTGTTGCATTGACATGACATCTCACTTCACAGGAAACAGCAAATGGCATACACGTGAGCTGGCCACATTATGGAGAAACAAAAGCAGGTCCATCTGCAAACACGAGTTAGCAAGCGGAAACACTAATGGTGTTTTCTTTCGTATTTACAAAACCAAAGTTACCAGAATGTTCACACTTTTAATCGAATTAGACTTTTATGCTGTTCATAACTACTTAAAATGGGAATTGGTTCTGCATCATGAACCGAAAGATAGCCAAGATTGTTGGGGACTAAGCCTAAGGTGTGCTTATGTTTAAGAAAAAGCATCTTAATACTTTTGGCTTATAGAGACCTACCCCATATCCGGTAGCTATAGGTCTAGTAACTGCAGTGCTTGGAATTTTAGCAGTTATCTTGGGGAGGAAAAAGAACATAGTTAACAGAATTCAGATTAAGGTATATAATAGCAAACTGGAAAAGAAACGGAAAATATAGACTTATCATTAAGGAAATATTTACACAATATTTAGAATGATTCGTTTTAAATTCTGTGGAATATTAGGGAGTTCAGGCATTTTAACTATTGAGAAGGAGACTCATCCTAGGATTCATTTTGAAGAAAAAAGGGATTTTAGTATGTCCTGATGCCAATAAGAGCTCTGTTTCCATGTGTGAGTGTATCATTCATTAAATATGTATTGGCTATTTGTGGCTGCCAGCAGCAAGCGCAACGGCAACAGGATTAGGAGTTGGGAGCCTGGCTTTGAATCTCACCTGTCCTTTGACTGGCTGTGTTTATCAACCTCTTTGAAGCCACATGTCCTCATCTTTAAGTCAGAGTACATACATCATAGGAATGTGGCTGCAATCAGACAGCAACACAGGGTGAAAATGTCCTACCCACATTCACTCCTAAGCATTTTTAAAATGGAAATATTTGATTAATGTCTTTAGGAAGGAATTATATTTCTGGCCACAAAGGACTAGCTTGAGAACAAACAAACACAAAAACTTTCCTTCTCAGAACAAGTGAAAAGGCTGAAGGCAAGACGTTTGTTAAAGGTATGTTTGAAAGCGCTAGAGAATCACCAAGGAAGTGAAGAACCACAGTCTCAAATAAGGAAGAGTAGGGAAGTGCAGGGAGGTGAGCGACCTTGGGAGGGTCTGCTTTTGTCCTGTTAATTGCACCTGTTAATCCCACAGCGACTCAGAGCTGGGGGCTGGCCAAGGAGGCAGCCCCACAATTCCTTCTGCTTTGACTCTGGATCTCAAAAAACTACATCCTGAGACTTGAGCGCTGGTTGAAGAGTTGAAGTTCAATTCAGAATCCTCACAAACCCAAGCGGGTTAAGATGATCAAAGATTCCTAGTGCTGCTAGGGCTGTGAAGTGAATTCTCCCCAGCCGCAGAGGAGATCCTTTCAACACTGCACCGTCAAAGAGAAGGTTCCACAGCCATCAAAATGCTCTCAACACGCCCTCAACACGCCCCTCCTGGCACGGGAGGCAGTGGCCGCACTGAGCACTTGAAATGCGGCTAATGCAGTAAGGATCTGAGTTTTTAGTTTTAGTTTTTAAATCATTTAGGTGTGAACAGTTACATATAGTGACCATCAAAGTGCACAGTACAGACACACAGCAATAATTACCTCCAAATTCTTTCACTTCCAGTGCATTCACTCAAAACCAGCCAGGCACATGGGAGGCAAGGTTGCCAAACTAAAGCGAAGACACACAAACAAGTGGCAGGAAACCCAGACCAGGATAGCCGGATTGAAACATCAGACATAGACTCGTCCGTAACTATGTAAAAATACGCCTAAAATGTCCATTGAACCAAAAAACAAGATTGACCACTTCAGCAACAAACCGGGAATCATAAAAAAAAGTTCTAGAATTTAAAATGAAGTAAAATTCTGCACAGTTCAAAATAAAGTAAAACTACTGGTTTATATGAGGCTTTAATGAGTTAAAGATAAGTATTTTAATCTTTAGGGAATCAATAAAAGAATGACTAATAAACTACCAAGACAACAAGAAAGGTAAAGGGATTAATAAAAACAAAAAGCAAAAAAGGAGAGAAAATTAAACAAAAGCAGAAAAAATGAAAAGCAAATAAGACAATTCTAAACCAAATTAGTATTTTAATTAAGTGTAAACAGAATCAATCCTTCACTAAAAGAATAAGATCATTAGACTTCATTTAAAAAAAAACTCAACTGCACTCCACAATTAAGAGACGGATATTAAATATATATCAAAAAGTAGGAAATAAAAAAAAAGGAAAAAGACATACAATGCATATAGTAGACTAAAAAGAACTTGGGAAACTATACCCATACATTAAGCTATCAGGCAAAATAAACACATTACTAGAAACAGACTCCACATTAACAAAATAAAAAGCTCAATTAACCATAAAATACAATTTAAAATATCTTTGTTCAGAATAAGGAATTTAACATAACAAATAGACAAATCTATAATCATGGTACAAGATTTGATCACACTTTCTTACTAGTGATAAAAGCAGAATACAAAAAAAACCAGTAAAAATATAGAACATTGGATTAAAACAACATACACGATAAAGCTAACATACGATCAACTGCAGATCAAAGATTCTTTTAAAAGGTACTTGGGCTAGGAATACATTTCAGAAATTGAAATCATACAGGTTATTTTTTGTTACCAGCTAAAAATAAAGCTAGAACTCAGTAACATAGAGCTAACTAAAAGATTCTTAGCATGTATGGAAATAAACCACTCTTGGTTCAACAAAGAAATCATCATAAGAATTTGAAAATATTTTGAACTGAATAATAACTTATTAAAGGGAAAAATATAGAAGAAAAACCCCACACATTAATTTTATGGGAAAACATGCCTGAATTATAGGTATTAACACAAAAAGTTGTCAGGTGAACTTCAGTCACTTCTTTTTGCTTTATTGTAAGTCTTTAAACGTATCTTAGAGCTTCAAGTTCGTGCCTGAGGTGTGGGTGCTTGGCTTAGCGAAATGGACATGAATTAAGATGCCTGCATCCATATCAGATAACTTGGTTTGATGATCACTTCCGGCACCTAATATCGGCTCCCTGCTAATACAGACCATGGGAAGCTGGGGTGATGGCTCCATTACTTGGATTCCTGACATCAGGGAAGATTTGGAACACGTCCTCAGCTCCCACCATCAGCGAAGACCCAGATGTTGCAGATGGGAGTTCCTACTTTCTTTCTCTCGGGTTAAACAAGCAAAAAACTACCTAAGGTCCACAGGTGTGGCACAGTGGGGTAAGCTGCTTTTGTGATGGCCACATCCCACATAAGCACTGGTTCAAGTCCTAGCTGTTCCAGTTCTGATCCAGCTTGCTGCTAATGTTCCTGGGAAGGCAGCAGAGGATGGCCCAGGTGTTTTGGGCCCCCTGTACTCATGTGGGAGACCCAGGTGGAGTTAGGGGCTCTTGGCTTTAGCCTGGCCAGGCTCTGACCGTTGTGCTCTTTGGGGAATGAATCAGCTGACTGAAGATCTTTCCCTACTTGCTTCTATATCACTCTGTTTTTCAAATAAATAATTTTTAAAAAATAGGCAGGTTTTATGTTGGTTTTCCTTTTTTTTATTATTATTATTTTTATTTGAGAGGCAGAAAGATGCAGAGAAACAGATCTTTGATTCGCTAGTTCATTTTCCAAATTTCCGCAAACAGCCAGGCCTGGGTGAGCCCAAAGCCAGTAGCCCAGAACTCCACATGGGCCACAGGAACCCAAATATCTGAGCCATCAAAAGCTGCCTCCCAGAGTGTGTATGAGCAGTAAGCTGGACAGGGAGCTGAGCAGCTCAAACTAGAACCAGGCGCTCCAACACCAGATGTGTGAGGCCCAAGTGGCTACTTACCTAATGTGTCACACGCCTATCCCAGGAAAACAGTTTTTAAACAATGATTGCTTTAGGTAAACATATTGTAATAACTAATATAAAGAAACTCTCTGATTCAAAATACTTCAAATTCACTGACTGTATATAACTAGGTATAATTACTACATGTCAATTAAATTAATTACCACATATGCAATTACATATTGGATACAGTGAAATAACTACAAAATACTGCTGGAAGAGAAATTAAAGATAACACAAATAAATGGAAAAACATCTTGTATTCATGGATTTAAAGACTTAACACTACTACAAAGTCCATACTGCCCAAAACGATCCACAGATTCAATGTGATCTGCAACCAAATCTCAATGTCATTTTTTGTAAGAAACATTCATCCTGAAATTTTTATGAAATGTCAAGGGATTGTGAATAGCTAGAACAGGTTTTGAAAAAGATCACTAAAGTCAGAGGACCCCTGCTCTCTGATTGCAAAATACATTACAAAATTACAGTAACGAACAGTGCAGTACTGGTATACAGACAGACATACAGAGCAGGGGAGTAGAAAAAGGACTCCAGAAATAAATACTTGAATATGTGGTCAAACACGAGCTCCTGCAGGGTGCCAGGACCATTCACCAGGAAGGGATGACTTTTTAAACAAATAATGCTGGGAAAACTGACTATCCACAAGCAACATAAAGTTCTGGAGAGGGGAGAGGGGAAAAGAGTGAGGAGAAGAGAGGAGAGGGGCGAGGGGAAAAGGGAGCGGCATCTGGCTCAGCATTTTTTGAGACCACTGAGATTGACACATGCACATCAGAGCACTTGAGTCCAACTCCTGGCTCTAGCTTCCAGTTTCCTGCTAACACAAAATCTGGGCGACAGCAGTGATGGCAGGAAGCACTGAATCTCTGCTACCATGTGGGAGAACTGGACTGAGTTCCTGGCACTTGGCCTCCATCCTCCCAGCTATGATGACATTTACAAAATGAGCTAGCAGCTGGAAATCATTTCTCTTTAACCAGCTTCTTGTCTTTCAAAAAAAAATGCATAAAGTAACACAATGGGGGTACACCTGGCACAGCAATTAAGGTTAAGTCACTGTCTGGGATGCCCACATCCCCTGGTGTGCCACCTGGTCTGAGCTCCAGCTTCTCCACTGTGAGCCAGCTTCTTTGTTAAAGCATGCCTGGGAGACAGCAGAGGATAGCGAACCTGCTTGGGTGCCTGCCACCCACAATGGAGACTCAAACAGAATTCCAACTCTGGCTTTAGTCTGGGCCAACTCTGGATGTTGCAGGCGTTTGTAGAGTGAACTAGTGGATGGAAGATCTATCACCCACCTGTCTCTCTGCCTTTCAAAAAAAAAAAAAGTTGAACAACTGTGGGGCCCAGGGGCAAAGAGGTACTAGGTCAACAAGATGGCAACTAACAATCAAGGTCACTGGGTTACACGTGGCAAGTAAGATGGTGGCCAAGGACAGAGCCCTGGACGTCAACCAGGACAGGGGTCAAGTTGTTTCAAAGAATGACTGGCCAGGGCCATTTTGCTCACTACCCCTGGCCTATGGGAGGTGGCTTCGCAGTTGTGCAGGTGACAACTGGCCCCTAGGTCTCCTCTCCTGGAGCTCCTGGAATTCCTGGCCTGAGGCAATTTGTTACCCTACATAAGAATTTGTACTTCCCAAATAAATTGAAACTGGTTAGACAGAACCCCTATCCTTCTGTTTGTTTCTCCCACCCTGGGAGGCTGCATGGCGGGTAGCAGGCTCACCCCCTCTGACAATGGGGTACTAGAAGAATCTGTGGGGGAGACCCCGCAGAACAACGTTAGACCACACAGAAAAAAAAAAATCAATTCACAATGGATTAAACACCTAAATATACAACGCAAACCTAGGGAACGCCTAGAAGAAAACTACTCAGCACTGATCTTGGCAGTGACTTTTTAGGATATGACACCCAAAGTGCAAGCCACAGAAGCAAAAGTAGGCAAGAAGGGCTACAGAAAATGGAAACAATTTTGTGCCTCATAGAACACAATCAACAGCACAGAAATGCTGAATGTGGAAAAAAAAAGTCTTGATAAGAAGTTAATATTCGAAGTATAAAAATAATTCCAATAACGCAAAAACAAACAAAAACAGGCAAGTATCCACCAATGATGGGAAAAAGAAAATGCTGCATATATAGACAATGGACTACAACCCAGCCTTGAGGAAGTAAGGAACGTCTGACACACATCGTGACAAGGATGAATGTTGAGAATATTAGACTAAGTGGAATATTGGACTAACCAGTCACGGAAAAACAAAACATCTACGCTTCTACCGAGGTGAGTACTTGGGGTGGTTAAATTCATAGACGCATAAAGCAGAACAGTGCTTAGCAGGTGCGTGGGAAGGGGAGGAGATGCGAGCTGCTCCACAGACACAGGGCTCAGATGCAGAGGGTGGAAATGCCCCAGAGACCCTTTTTACAACATCATGAATACACATCAAACTTAATGTACAGGGGAAGACTGTCACAGAGGCAAACTGCATGATGTGTGTTTTACCATAACCTTTTAGAGAAATTCCACTTACTGGAGGTCTTCTGCCATGACTGGTTCTCACGGCTTGCTGAAAAGCTGTGTCATTCTCCAAGTCCTAACACAGAGAGACAAATTTCACATTCAGAATCAAGTGAGAATTGGGGGTCTGGGAGAACAGTTGGAACCCCATTTCAGTATTGAAGATCCTCTGTAATTCAACTGCTGACATCAGGGAAGGATCGAGGCGCCTGCCCCCCACCTCACCCTGTCACACTGCCTAAGTTATCTTCCCCCCCCCCCAGAGCAGTACTCATTACCAGTCATCCTAGGGCACTTTGCTGACTCTGTCCCAAGGGTGAACTACAACCCTGGCTAGCACACCAACAGAACAGCCTTTTCTTCTGTTTCTTGCTAGTGACCGAAGCATTCAGAATAGAAACCCCCATTTCCCTCTGCCCCATCTTTTCCTCTACGTTGGAATCATTATCTTCCCTTTCTTTTGTTCCCTCTCTGCCCGAAGTGACGTTTCCTCTCCCTGGAGAGGCCACTATGAGGTTCAGACAAGAGCTCGTGTAGGCAAATGGAGCCCTTCGCTGATTCCTGCATTGCATTTGGAACCGACATCTCAGAGGAGATAAAAAGTCAATTTACTTCGGTCACTCTTGCATTTTATTCCTTCTATTTAAGGAAAGGAACACCAATCAAAGGCAGAGGTATAAGTGATACTGGATTTCCTGAACAAAATCTCATTTAAAAAAACAAAGATCAGTTATTTTGAAAGTCAGAGTTACAGAGAGGGAGGGAGAGACAGAACATCAGCTGGTTCATTCCCCAGATGGCAGCAACGGCTGGCAGAGCTGTCCAGTTTGTTCTGCCCTCCATGGTACTAGCATCCTCTGCAGGCCTCGATGCGCTGCTTGTCATGTCCAACATGTGCACCTGGGCATGCTGTCCACTGCACAGGCCTCAGCAACCAAGGAGACCCGGTTCTGACAGTCCACAGTCAGACCACAGACCTTGTCATTTTCCCTGTAGACAGTTTTGAGTCCAGGATCCAGACCCTGTCTGACGGTGTACTTACACATCTTTAAAAAAAAAAAGGCAATTATGCTGGCACACTGGCATAATTAACACAAATCTGTCTTTAACCAGGCCTAGAATGCCCGCCAGCTGTTAGCTGCTCTTCTTCTAGCAGGGTAGCACTTGCTTGGGTGCAATCAACCTAGTCAGTTGTCTACAACTGGAGTTCACCTGCCAATCTGCTAACAGCCTTTATTATTTCCTACTTCTCTTTCACACACACACACATACACACACACACACACTTTAACACTTTACACATCTTAATGCCACTCCCATCTTTGCATATATATTTCAGTCTACTTCCCTCAAAAAATACAGTGGCTGTACACGGGCAGGGGCCATCATGGCTCTGCCTCAGTGGCCAATCAGGCTGGGGGGATACCTGGGACCTAGGTGCCCAGGCCGTGCATCGGCAGGGATGGTGGTTGCCTGTGTCCCCTCTAAGTTCCACATGCTAGCTATCTGAGTTTCTAAGGGACCCCTGCCTTTACCAGGTTTGTTCTGAAATCCACTGATGACCTGACATTGCCAAATGTCTGATCAGCTTCAGGTGCCTGGGGATCTCTGCCCTCAGGGACCAGAACCCATGAGGCTGTGCCTGGACCTTGGGACACACAGCTGCAGGTGGGGTACCTTTGCAGACTCTTGCGCAAAGGAGAGGAATACACTCAGGCGCACACTCAGGTGCATACAAAAGATAAGCCTGTCAACTCCGGGGAGCCAAGCGAAGACCTCCAACACCTCTCCAAAAGGAAAAACAGAGTCCCACAATCCCTCAAAACAATGAGGGCCACGTGTGCTGGCTAGACACGTTCCTCTGTAGACCCGGATCCTGTCCCACCAGCCTGCCTCAAAGGCCAACCTAACATGCCACACAGCAGCTCGGCTCTGTAAGACTGGGCTAGCTCCCTGCTCACGGTCTGTGTGAGTGCGTGGCCTATGGCCATCGGTGGGTGAGGGGAGGTCTGGAGGAAGCTTCCAGCCCCCGACACCAGCCTGGCCCATTCCAGCCCATCATGTTCCTCTGTGGCGTGAACAGTGGATTCATGATCTCTCTCCCTTTCTTTGTAACCCTGATTTTTTGAAAAATTTTATACATATACACACACATACTGAGTATGTAAAAAAACAAACACATAAAAATAGTCAACATCAATTATATTTTCAAGGCCCACAGACCATGAAAATAAAATGTTCATCAGGATGCTATACAATGACTTTATTAAATACCAGCACGCCTCCTTCGTTTTCAGTTCAGGTTATTTTTATAATCCTGCACATCAACTACATCAAATTAATGATTATGCCACTCTCACCCATAGAAACTGGAAATTTTCATATGAAGTGTAAAGCCATAGGCATAATTACTTATATTCCACGTCGACGAATTTTTGAGATAACAATCTTTTAAGATTCTTTTAAGGTCGACCGACTATTAATGGAATGTCACTAATTAAATCAATACTTTCAACTAAATGTTCACATTAAAAGAACAGCCAAGCAATTCTCCAATTAAAAATGCCAAACTGCACAGTGCTTCTGATGTTTTCTTTGTGAAGTTGGGCTAACTGCCTATTCTATGAACATCTGAAGCAACTGCCTCCAGTAACTGCAGTGATGGTAACAGAATTTGTGTCATTTTATTTCTTTCTGTGTCCAGGTCTCCACACTTTGCAAATTTTCTATAATGATCAGTATTGTTCAGATTTTCTATCTCGTATGAAAAAGCAAGCAAATTCTATTTAAAAGATCAATTATTTTTTATTGGAAAGGCAGATTTACAAAGAGAAGGAGAGACAGAAAGGTCTTCCATCCACTGGTTCACTCTCAAAATGACTGCAATGGCTGGAGCTGAGCTGATTCAGAGCCAGAGCCTGGAGCTTCTTCCAGGTCTACCAGGTGGGTGCAGGGTCCCAAGGCTTTGGATCATCCTCCACTGCCTTTCCAGGCCATGAGGGAACTGGATGGGAAGTGGAGCAGTGGAAACATGAACCAGCACCCATGAGATGCTGGAGCTTATAGGTGGAGGATTAGCCAATTTAGCCCAGATAGTTTCTATTTTGTTGCTTATTTTATTTCTAGGTTTCCGGTTAAAAGAAGCATTTAAGGACTACTAAATATATGGTGGGGACACTAGTTTCTTGTTCCTGGCATAAGTCTGAGGCAGACCCGACTGCTCTGGCATTTTGGAAATGAACCAGTGGATAGGAGATCTCTCTCTCTCTCTGCCTTTCATATTACTAAAATAAATTTAAAGATTACTAAATGCTATTATCAAATGCTAGAATTCACAAATTCCCACAAATGACAGCTTTAAGTTTCTATATAATTAGAACTTACTGATTTCGGGTCCACATGGTGGCTCAACAGACTAATCCTCAGCCCGCAAACCCCAGCATCCCATTCAGGATCCCTGCTTGTGGACTGGAAAAGCAGCAGAGGACAGCCCAAAGCCCTGCACTTATGTGGGAGACCTGGAAGAGACCCAGAAGAAGTCCCTGGCTCCTGGCTTTGGACCAGCTCAGCTCTGGTCATGGCAACCACTTAGGGAATGAACCAGCGGATGAAGACTCTTTCTCTCCATCTCTCCCTTCTCTCTGTAAATCTCCCTTTCTAATAAACAACAACAAAAAAATTTTTTTTTAAAAGAACTTACTCTTTTTACAATTTAGAAATTATAATTCCTATTAAAAAGTATAAACATAGTTGCAAATATCTAATGTCTTGGTAGTTATTTCATATTTTAATTATGATCCCATCAAATATTAAGCTGGATACTCATGAAAGAGACAAGGCAGGTTACAAAACAGTACATATAGATTATTCTATTTTACCCACAAATATATAGAAACATACATATATTCACATAGGGAAATGTCTGGCAATAATAAAAATGTTTGGTGTGTGTCTGATTTTAATTTTTCTTAGAACTTATTTAATTTTTCTATAAAATATTTATAACTGAAAAAAGAAGCAGAACTACTTCACATGTAGAACAAGTACTCAAAATTTTACAGTTTCAAGTCATCTAAGCCTGAATTTGCACACTCCTAGCTAATGCTGAAGAATATGAAATATAAGTAGATCCAATCCTGATGTCTGAAACTTTCAGCATTTTCGGTTGTTAAACTAGGGATGCTCGAACCAATGAAATCTATGCAAACATTCCAAAATCCGAAAAGCTGCAAAATCGGAAACACTTCTTGCCTTACACACTTCAAGCAGGACCCTGAATCTCAATCTGAATCAGCTGTATCTTACTTTGCCTCACAGCTTTCTGTGTGCTGTAATCATTACCATGGTGGGATTCAGTAATAACATTTTTGGATTTTTTTTTTTAAATCAACTTTTAACAACCAAAAACGAACCCTCAAATCCAAAGTCATCCTAAACCAGCTAGTTAACCAGGGCAGTGTGGATCCCAGTTTGTTCGTGTGTGTGCATGCGTATGACAGTTCTTACCTCAGTATCATAGGTGGGATTGTAGTCGTTGTAACCAGAATAGAGGTCATCTTCATCTGTGTCTGGAGCCAAGTGCACATTTTGCATCATTTGTACCTGAGAAAAAGCAGTCATGTAAATACATTCTTGGAATAAGAAATAATTGTAAGTTCTAATACAATATTTAATAACCAGGCCAAATCTAACTAACATATTCTTATGCCTTAAACTGTTTCCTTACATTAAACTCCTAAAACTAAGTGTGAGGTACTGCAGACACAGCTGACTGCTCTGATATGGCATAGGGGGACAGGCTCCACAGAGGACCACTGCCCATCGCACTGATCTTCTTGGACCTTAGCACTGCTGCAGAACAAACGTCAGATCAGTGCAAGGCAAGACACACATGACTACGGTCATTCACAAGAATGGCTAAAATTACAGTCCAACAGCGCACACTGCCAGCAAAGATGGTGAGCAACTAGAATACTCACACGCAGCTGCTGAGAATGGTACAACTTTGGAAAGGAGTGGGGTGACTTTACAAAAATCACATGTACCTTTTCTGACTTAGCAAGTCCACTGTAAAGTATTTATCCAGAGAAACGAAAGCAGATGTCTTACAAAAGACTGATATAGGGATGTACATAGAGGCTTTCCTCATAATAGCTAAATATCAAAAACATATGAAACACCTAACAAAAGAATAGGTAGGCATAATGCAGCATATTTATTCAATGATACACTATTCACAAATAAGAGAACGGAATGATGATACAAAACAGCAAGGAAGTTTCTTGATTATAGAGTGAAAGAGGTCTTACATAAAACAGTACACAAGAAGAGAATCAAGATGGTGGAACAGGGTAAGAACACATTTAAACAAACAGACAATCATTAGCCAGGGTGAAGCAGAGAGGGCACATTCCAGGAACAAGGGGAGGACAGGCTGATGGCAGAGGGGCACCTGGAGACTGGCCAACATTGGGAAGCAGCGAAGAAACGGTGAGGTGCAGCAGTGACCAGAACCCCAGTGGCAGTGTGCAAGTGGCAAATTGAGCTCCACAGGCGGCTAGAGCTCCACCAGCAGCCAGGTGGGAAGGGAAGCTGACTGAGAGCTCAGGTGGTGAAACCTGGCAAAGATCTGCCCATCCTGCTGGTCTGTTTGACATGACTAAGAGCAGAGACAGAGCAGGATACTCCAAAGAGGTGGTACAGGAACAGGGTGGATTACACAGTCCAAATTCCCACCAGAGCTGCACTGGGTGCCATTTTGGGTATGGAGGCAAAGGCTCTGGGACAGCAATGTACACACATTAAACTGAGAGTGAACTCATTTCTGACTCAAGTCCATTGCACCTATGTGCAATGTGGCATCCAATGTGCAAGGTTCCACCCAAGACAGGTCTGGGTAGCTCCCAGACCTAACGGCCAGCAGATCAAGAACTCCAAAAGTGGCACATCAGGTGCCATTTTGTACAATGTGGCAAAGACTTTGAGCCTGGAAGAACAACAGTGAGCTGCACATGTGTTGAGCTGGAAGTGATCTCACTGAACTCAGTGCATTGAACTAGTCCAACAGAGAAAACACTACTGACTTTGTCATCTTACAACTTAAAACAGGTCCGCGTGGCCCTCAGACCTAACATCTAGCAGGTTCTGGAAAGATCAGCACCACCAATCTTCACCACAACACATGATAATCAAGCTCTCTTCAGTTGTACATAGCAAAAAAATCCTTAAATGTGCATGTGAAAAAAAAATTAATTGGCCTATAGGAGAACCCCAATCTGATTCACTGCTGACCTCTCAGAGAAATCTACAGGCTAGAAGAGAATGGAGTGACATATTCCAGATTCTAAAAGGAAAAAATTGTTAGCCCATAATACTGCACCCACAAAGCTTTCCTTTGTGAAAGTGAAATAAAATTCTTCCACAGCAAAGAAAAGCTCAAATACGCCTCTTCCAAACCTGCCCTACAAATGATACGTAAAGGTGTTCTCTTGACAGAGAAGAGGAATAACATCCACCAAACCCAAAGGTATATGTGAAGAACATTCCAGTAAAATAAAAGATTAAATCAAGCAACGAATCCCCACAACTAAAATACAGGACCAAATTACCACCCATTCATATTAACCCTGAATATAAATGGCTTAAACTCATCAATCAAATGTCATAAATTAGTATACTGGATCAAAAACTCAAAACCTACCTATTTCTTGCCTACAGGAAACATATCTCACCAACAAAGATCAGCAGAAACTCTATCTCTGGATTTTGATGTTTTGTTTCTTTTTAATTTCATTTCTTCAAAACACTTTCTCATTAAATTCTTCAATGACTCACAGATCACACGTAGTATCATTTTCTTCAGGACGGTTCTTGATTTTCTTTTGCCATTTCTTCAGTGACACATTAGTCACTCAGCAGCATGTTATTTAACTTCATGGCATTGTTAATTTCTATTTTCCTGTTATTGACTTTGTTTTGTGGCTTTTCATTTAAGGGGATGCATAGTAACTGTGTAATGGAAACTGTCATATCCAGATGTACAGGATATAATACAGTACGCATTTCTATTTCCAGACAAAGATGGACTCCCAATGAAACTGTTAACTCTATCTTGACAATAGCATGCTGGACTCTGCCATTTCCCAAGCACACAATGATGGACATATGACTCTCTTTGAAGAATTATACTATCGTAATAATGGTGGGGATTTTGGTTAGCGGGAATAAGGGAAATCCCAGAATCTATACAACTTTCATAAAATAATAATAGTTAAAAAATTGAGGAAAAAAAAATTAAACAAAAGCTTGGCACTTAAAGGACAAAACAGTGTACTGTCCTTTTTTATATGAAGTTCTAGACAAAACACTGGCTGCTTCCTGAGATGGACGGAGCGATTAAATGTAAGAGGGCATCAGAGAACTGTATGGGATGGGGATAAGTGTTTTATGCCTCGACAAAGTTAGGGTCACACAGCAGAAACATACTTGAGATTTTGGGTTTTTCTTATAAATTTTATTTCAAAAGAAAAAACTACAGGCATTTAATGAAATCCAGTGTCACGCATGGTGAAGAACTTAAGTTAGTATCCGTAAGTCAGTTTGAAACTGACAGCCACATTGACAGATGGAGAGAGGTGGGCAACTGGATAGATATCATAAACCAAGGAGAGAGCGTGGAAGCTGGATGGCAACAGCTCAGTGGGCCAATCCTCCACCTCCCAGCACTTGGTTCCCATAATCCTCCACTTCCCAGCACTTGGTTCCCATAATCCTCCACTTCCCAGCACTTGGATCCCACATGGACACTGGTTTGTGTCCTGGCTGCTTTGCTTCTCTTCCCGCTCCGTTTAGGATCTGGAAAAGCTGCAGAATCTGGCCCAAAGCCTTTGATACCTGCACCTACGTGGAGACCTGGAAGAAGCTCCTGGTTCCTGGCTTTGATGGGCCCAGCTCCGGCTGTGGCGGCCATTAGGGGAGTGAACCAGTGGAGGAAAGATCTCTAATTCTGACTTTCAGGTAAGAAGTAAATAAATCTTTCTTCAAGAAAAGATTTTTACTTTATGTTTTTAAGGGGAAAGGAGTGGTTTGCTTTTTTTTTTTTTAGATAAATATTTATTTATTTATTTTTATTTGATATGCAGATTTAAGAGAAGACAGAGAAAGATCTTCCATTGGCTGGTTCACTCCCCAAATGGCCAAAATGGTCAGATCTGAGCTGATTTGCCAGATCAGAAGCTTCTTCCAATGTGGGTGCAGGAACCCAAGAACTTGGGCCATCCTCCACTGGCCTCCCAGGCCACAAGCAGCAAACTGGATCAGAAGTGGAGCAATCAGGACCAGAATCCGTGCCCATACGGGAACGGACCTGGTACTACAGACCAGGTCTAGTCTGTTGAGCCACCATGTCAGCACCCCTGTTTTCACTTTCTTGATAATGGCCTTTGAAGAACCAAATTTTTAGTCTGATGATATACCACTTACCTATCTTTTTTTTTACTACACTTTTGGGGTCACAGGTGAGAAACAGCTAATTCAAAGTCAGGAAGATTTACCCTCAGGTTTACTTCTGTAAGAGTTTTATAGTTTGGGGTTGTTACATTTAGATTGCTGGTCAATTCTGAATTAGCAAAATCACTGCTTAAAAACAAATGTCAACCAGAAAAGAAATACTAATCACAAAACACTGCCAAAAGGTGTTTACATGGTTGGTAAAACAACATTTTAACTGAAAAGCCTCAGTTCAGAGAAAATTAAATCAGTGGTTCTCAAATTTGATTTAGATTGCCTCTTCCTTAGAAATCCAGGTTTGCCGTTTCTAAGTAACTTTAAGAACATCGAACCTCCTTCCTCCTTTAGAACATGGATTTGCAGCAAGTCCTCCAGTGCTGCTGATGCTGCTGGCCGGGAAAACACATGGAGAACAGCTGTGTGAAACGGCCCGGGAGTGCAAACTGCTTCCAAGTACAGAAAAAACAAGCAACTGTACAACTGGAACCCTTTCCGCTGTGGTACACAGGTTGGAAAACATTTAGAAATACAAGAGATCCTGGTTGACATTTGTTCCTTTTGTTATTTTTTTTTCCCTAAGGCTTATTTATTTGAACGACAGAGTTTCAGAGCGAGGGAAGGAAAGGCAGAGAGAGAGATGGAGAAGATTCCCATCTGCTGGTTCACTTCTCAGAAAGCCTCCATGGTCAGAGCTGGATGGGTCTGAAGACAGGAGCCAGAAGCGTCTTCTGGGTCTCTCTCATGCGCTCCTGGCACATTAGAGTGAGCTGGATTGGGACTGGAGCAGCCAGGACCGTAACAGGTGCCCATGTGGGACATCAGCGTTGCAGGTGTCAGCTTAGCCCACTGGGCCACAGTGTGGGCCGAACACACTAACTTTAAAGATGTGGAAAGCAAAGCCAGCAAGGGGGAAAGCGGCCGCCATGGTTACCAGCTAGGAGGTTGGGGGAGCAGAACAAATGTCATGATCCACAGTTTCCAGATTCCCTCAGGTATTTCAAAAATAACCCCTATACATTCACTGGCCTCAGGTTGAACTCACCTGGGGAAAATGCCACCTCAGAACGAATTAAATGCCAGTAAAACCTTTTCCGAAAAGTTTAACTCTGACAACATCTGTACCAAACACGCACACCTGTCTTCTCTATGCCCTAAACAATATACTGTAGCAGGTGTTCTAAGAACTCTATAGCTAATAACACGGGACTATGCCAGCAGGTTGCAGGACTTGGGTAAATTGCGCTATCCGCATCAAGTCTCGGAACAACTACAGCAGCCCCACACTGAGGGGCAAGCCCCTCACGCCTTGGGAAGGGTCTCTCATCATTGCACCTGCACTAGGCAATTTCAAAAGTTTAACACCAAAAGTAAAGGCATCCCGTGGGAGCCCGGGAAGGCAACGGAGGATGGAGACCCGAGTGGAGGGGACTGCCGGCTCCAGGTCCGGATGGGTGGACCCCCGCTCTGGGGAAGGGTCTGCCTGTAAGCCCTGACCGTGCTTTGGGGTCGGTCACTCCCGGGGACGAAGGGCAGCGCCGGCCGCCAGCAGCCCGGGGAGGGAGCGGCGAAGGTCGGGGTGCTCCAGGCCCCTTGGGGACCCACCCCGCCGGGGTGCAGCCCCGAGACGGGCCCGCGGCGGGTGCAGCGCGAGGGGCCCAGGCGCTCTCGGCCCAGGCCTTTCTCCTACCTCGCGCTGAGGGGAGCCTGCCGGTCGAGCCCCGGGAGGAGCCAAGCTGCCAGGAGCCGTTGCAGGCCAGAGCGCGCCGCCCGTTGCCAAGGGCGGCATCCAAGGAAGCCGCTCCCAGACTGCTCCGCGCGGGGCCGGAAACGCGGGAGGGGGCGGGGCGGCTGTGACGGAGGGTGGGGCGCGCCCGGCCGAGCACCTCGGAACCCGGTGTTCGAGCCTCCGCTGGGCCTTGGAGCCCCCCACTTCGGCCTTACAGGACCAGTCTCCCTCGAGGCCCGCCTGGGGAGCCCGTGTTCGAGCCTCCTCCGAGCCTTCGATCCACTTTCGGCCTCATAACACCGGTCTCCCTCGAGGCCCGCCTGGGGAGCCCGTGTTCGAGCCTCCTCTGGGCCTTGGAGCCCCCCACTTCGGCCTTACAGGACCAGGCTCCCTCGAGGCCCGCCTGGGGAGCCCGTGTTCGAGCCTCCTCTGAGCCCCATTCCGCCCTACAGCACCAGTCTCCCTGGAAGCCCGCCTGGGGAGCCCTGGCCCCCTCCTCCCGCCCCTCTGCATCCCCGGGCGCACCTTTTCTGTGGTTTGCATTCTTAGCTGCTCTCCCCGCTAGAGGGGGCGGACCTTAACGGGCAGGAGGAGTTGAACCCTTGCGGGTACTTAGGTCACCACAGAGCTTTTAAACATGCTGCGACATGAATGAGGAATTAAATTCTTGATTGTTTCATGTCTTCTTAAAGTTTGTCTCAGGTTAACCTTGGTTTCATCGGGTGTTTCCTGCCGGCATTCATGAAGCCGTGTTAGGCCGGCTTGTAAGTAAGGCGCAATCCCAAGGAGGCTGGCTGTGAATGAAAAGAAAGAAGCCAGCAGTATATGACTAAGTTGCCCAAGGAGAGGCTCCCCCCCACCCCCCGTTTCATCAAATATAGCTTTCTTTTTAAAAGCCATTTATTTTCATTTTGTTTGAAAGGCAGAGAGATAAAACTTGGTGACAGCAATGATCCTGACTTACCCAGAATGCTCGGCTTTCCTGTTGTCTGCTCTCATGGCTCTGGCTCCTCCACTGGGCTTTCATAGGTGCACGCGTGGAAAAGACAGGATGTACTCAGGGCTGGAGGGGCAGAGGAGGAGGGGCGTTTAATAGCAGATCTGAAAGGAGTGGGGCCTAGAGGTTCAGATGAGACGTGCTAGATTCGAAGTCACTCACCCAAGTGGAGAGCTTACTGTGAGCCAAATGGCCAACTGCACAACACCAAAGGAAGACTCTGGAAGCAGTCAGAGAAAAGTATTCCAGATGGCCCGAGAGTCCTAGCTGAGGAAGACTTGTTAATGAGGATGAGAGCTCATGAGCTACTGATCTGAAATGGATACGGAGAAGTATTCTAGTTGCTCACCATCTTTGCTGGCAGTATGCGCTGTTGGACTCTGTAATTTTAGCCATTCTTGTGGCATTTGCTCAGTAGAAGATGGTGGAGGTTGGGTGTGTGCTATCTGGTTCTATTTGTTGCTTTTAATGCTTATTTATTCATTTGGATTTATTTGAATGGCAAAGCATGAGAGTGATCTTCCATCCCATTTCATTCTGTAAACGCCTGCAGCAGCCAGGCCTGGGCAAGTGGAAGCCAGGAGCCTAGCGCTCTAGCGGGCTCCCACAAGGGTGGCAAGGACCCAAGGACTTGGACCACCATCTGCTGCTTCCCAGGCACGCCAACAGGAAGCTGGATAGGAAGCAGAGCAGGACAAGATCCCAGGCCATCTGCAGTGGAATGAGGACATCTACAGCAGCGTCCTAATCCACTGTGTCACTGTGCCACACGCCAGGCCCCAGGCTGGAACCATCGTGCTACTTTGCCAGGTGATCCAGTGGAGTGCTGGATCACAAGCAGAACACCAGGACTTGAACCGGCATCATGTGGGAGGGGAGCACTGCAGGTGGCGATTTCACTGGCTACGCCACAACACGAGCTCTGCAATCGTATTATCTTGCCTGTCCTGCTATCATAGCTCCCTAGACTTTCTCACTGCTTCCTCCCTCCTTTTCCATCTTCCTTCTTCCTCTCATTCCATCTGCTTTCCGCTTATAGCCAGGGAACATCTGATGATGATCACATTATCCCTGCTCAAGACCTTTCTGTGCCTGGTCTCCGCCGTCTGCCTTGAGGTCTAGACAGTCTATACTCCACGGTGTGGCTTGGAAGCCCTTTCACAGTGTTTACTGATCATGGTACCACATACAATTCTGTGTGGCTGCCAAGAAAAATCACTTTTTTTAAAAAGGATTTTTACTTTTCTTTATTGGAAAGGCAGATTTATGGAGAGAAGGAGAGATAGGGAGAGAAAGATCTTTCATCTGTTGGTTTATTCCCCCAAATGGCCACAATGGCTAGAGCTGAGCCAGGTTGAAGCCAGGAGCTAGGGACCTCCTGTAGGTCTCCTAAGTGGGTACAGGATCCTAAGGACTTGGGGCATCCACCACTGCTTTCCCAGACCATATACAGAGAACTGGATAGAAAGTGGAGCATCCAGGATGTGAACCAGCCAGTGCTTGCAGGTGAGGACTAGCCAGTGGAGCTATTGCACTAGCCTTGAAAAAAGGTTTTCTTGATAGCTTAAGCAGAAAATAATATTTTGGAGGGAAAGATAGCGAGAAACTCACTGAGTTGTCAGGCAGGCCAAGGAGCAGAGGTTGGGCAAGCAGCTGCGCAGGGAGGTGAGGCTTAGCTGGTATCATTTCACAGGAGCATGCTGCTGCAGTTTGGGGGAACCTCCCTGGCTGCTCTGGGCAAGCTGGTCACTGCACCTGGCCTGGTCACTGCACCTGGCTGCTCTGGGCAAGCTGGTCACTGCACCTGGCCTGCGCTTTCTCCACGCATCCACCCTGCACATCTTCAGCATCTTCAGCACTTGCTGCTACCTGGCTGCACTCCAGGCTCTGGCACTTCCTGTCTTGCCACTGGGGATTCCTGCAGGTACCATAAGCCATTTCTAACTTCCTTGCACTTTTCCTGCCCTACTCGCGAGTCAGAATCCCGGATGGGAGCTGAGGCAGCTTCGTTTTGGTCAATGTGCTGTTTTCTAGCTGCTAAGGAGCTGCAGGAAGGGCTGGCTGCCCCCTTGAAGCTTCTCCCAGCGGGCTGGCAGTGCTCCTAAAGCGGACAAGATGTTCAGATCAGAAGCTGAATTCAAAGTGACAACTGCCTGCGACCCCTCCCTACATGCATGTCCCACCCGTCCCTAGCCATACTGCGCATACTTCAAGTTTCTGGAAGATTCCATACCCCTGTCACCTCTAGGCCTGCACATGTGCGGTTCTCCTGTCCTTAAGCACTCTTCTCCACAGCCCTCTTGGCCTGGCCATCCTTTCTCCAGTCTCCCAGGACTGCCGTCACACAGCATCACAGACCGAGTGGCTTCAGCAACAGAAACTTCCTTTCTCTTGCTCTTGGTGCTTAGAAGTCTAGATTAGGGTTTGCTTTCTTGTTCCCCTTGGCTAGCAGATGGCTTCCCTGCTGCCTCTTCACACGTTTGCTTCTCTGAGTGGCTTCTCTCTCGGTGTCCTCATCCCTTACCCTGGCTTGTGTTAAGAGCTGTGTGTTTCTGCAGCGTGTCCATCCTCCGCTGTCACAGCACACGCCATTTTGTAGTTACTGCCTGTGCCCTAACATTCACCCAAGTAGACCATGAACTTGCTGCTCGCTGTTGAAATCCCAACACCTCACTTGGCAAAAGCTTCTGTTTAGCTGCTATATGAATTATCGGGCCTTGTGAAAATCTTTCGTTCATTCTCAGAACAGTACCATGAAATGTAGTGATTTCCTGGTTGATGGTTAAAATGGACACAATACTTCTGAAAACAGGTTTTAAAATTTGGTTGATGTGCTAGGCAAAAATGCCATAGAGAGAAGAGAGCACCCATCCACTGTTCTAACTTCCCAAATGCTCGCAGCAGCAGAGGCTGAGCGAGGTCTCCTACGTGGAGGGCAGGGACCCCACTGGAGACTTCACCTGCTGCCTCCCGGGGTACAGGTTACCACAAAGCTGAGACTGGGATTCAAACCTAGACACTGATGTGAAAGCCAAGGTCCCAAGCCACGATTTAACTCGTTTCAGCTGCTACACCAAATATATTCCTAGACTGGTGGGAGAAGCTTGCACATAGTACTTTTCAACCTAGATGTTGAAAGCAAGGTAGTCTGAAAATACAAGAAATATTTTTCTTTTAATCTTTCAAATTCTTATCAAAGAGATAAGTGCTTTCTTAGGAGTAATGAAATGACCAGTAAAATACAATATTTTAGATATTTATTAGGAAGATAATCCTCACTCCAGTGTGGAAACATAACCCCCGAAGCTCCAAACCCTTTGGTTTTTCCTTTCACAGGTTGAGTTATGCCTTTATCTTACTGGATGTTTTGCCAGAGGTTCTCTGTGACCAGGCCAGACTCTGCAGATTGTAGGTGAAGTGTGCTGTCCCCTTTCCCTTGGGAGTCACTAAGATTCATGTTCTTTAGTAGGAAAAACTATTTTTCCAATGGGCAACAGTCAGGCAGAGACAAATCGTCCTCACAGCCTTTGAAAAGGACCTTAAGATCTGAAATTATGGAGCGTGAATAGACAATGAATTCGCACTTTAACCCAAAGTGTCACACTTTGAGCTGAGATTTGCAAGATTTCTTATTTGCAAGTTATAAATTAACTTTAGCTTACCAGTAATTTCAATCTGTTCTAAAATGAATGGACATTGAACTGAACTACCCTAATGAAATGTTCTTGTGTTCATTCAAACCATGGAGCACGACCACTAAAGAGCTGATATTAATATGTTACTCAAGGAGCCAGCAAGTGCCATCCTGTACCCACTGACACATAGCCCAGTGGCAACTTATGAAGCAAGGCAGATCTATCAAAGCAACTCTTTGATAAAGTCCAATCATTAATTTTTACAGCATATCATTTGCCAGAGGGGAACTTGCCAAGATAAATAATTACTAACAGCAATTCTAACTTTTAAAGGATGGAAAAATCATGTCCTTGCCAGAGTAGCCCAATTCTCAAAAGTGTATATGAAAATATAATTCATGGTATTGGC